TCCTCCTCCTCCTCTCCTCCTCCTCCTCCTCCTCCTCCTCCTCCTCCTCCTCCTCCTCCTCCTCCTCCTCCTCCTCCTCCTCCTCCTCCTCCTCCTCCTCCTCCTCCTCCTCCTCCTCCTCCTCCTCCTCCTCCTCCTCCTCCTCCTCCTCCTCCTCCTCCTCCTCCTCCTCCTCCTCTCATCATCATCATCATCATCATCACAGTCAGTCCTGGTCTGCAGTCAAGCATGTTACCAGACCGAAGACTCCCGCTCGTCAGTCCATCCCCTGTGATCTTGGAGTACAAGGCTGAAGTCGATGCTGGAAGCACTTGAATGGTACGAGTTGTCTTGAAGAGGCTTGTACGTCCGATGTTGACCTGTTCCGACCATCTAAGAAGGCAACATGATGTCAACTTCCGCTCCTTCACCTGCAGGACGAGCTTGTTCGCCTTGAAGGCAGTGAACGTCGCCATGAGCGTCGCCCTTTGATGTCCTGAGCCTCCATGTTAGGTCATGGCGACATGCCGACAGACTCGAACGATCTCGATGGCAGGAAGTGGATTTGCGATGGCAGGGGAAGGACAAGCACTGCCAGCTCACCGGATCCGAGAAACATTCCAAGGGAAACGATATCAACTTCCAAAGCCTCTCCGACGCCGCCGCCTGCCCCGACAAATCTCAAGGAAGTTTCGCAAGTGAGGGAAGGGAAAACCTGGCAGGGACTGGTTGAGTTTGACAGTGAGAGGTACGCTGGTATGGTCCATGAACTCCTGCCCCTTAGTTTGAGCTAAATTCTTGTTTGGTTTGGTCGTCGGATTCTCAACTGTCATGTTGAATATTCTCTCTTGCCCATATCTCCCTGCCTGCCTGCCTGCCTGCCTGCCTGCCTGCCTGCCTGCCTGCCTGCCTGCCTGCCTGCCTGCCTGCCTGCCTCCTCCCTCCCTCTCCCTGAACATACCTGCACGTATCCATCTTTGAAGATTGCACCTTGACCAAATCCATCAGTATCCAGAGGCTCGATCCTTGCATTATGTAATCACCATCGTTACCATACTTGTCGACAAGCTTCACAGTGAAGCTCGACGCTTGTCCGGCAACACAAGGCTCAAGTCCTTCACTGCATGTCAGCGATGTTTTGTTCTGCCCCTCTCCTGCTGCTGCTGCTGCTGCTGCTGCTGCTGCTGCTGCTGCTGATCTTCCTCCTCCTCCTCTTACCTTTATCGTCCACGAGACATTTGTCCGGGGAGATCTCAGTAGGAAAGACCTGCAAGACAAGCCGTGAGATGCCTCGTCAGGGCGGGACAGTGGAGGATGGACGGAAAGAGAGCGGCAGGCATAGCTGAAGAGCGAAGGAGGAGTGGAGGGAGGGAGGGAGGGAGGGAGGGAGGGAGGGAGGGAGGGAGGGAGGGAGGGAGGGAGGGAGGAAGAGGATACTTCGACTTCAAGGGGGCACCCTGGTAGTTGACTGCCGTCGAAGAGAACCTATCATCAGCTTCAATGCTACCATCCAATCCCGTAGCACGCCAACGTCTATCAAGTAATTTGCTCGGATTGTTGGCTCCCTTTGATTAAAGATCGTCAAGACATCGGTATTGGATGACAATGATAGCTTTCACATGGTCAGGACCACAGCTCCTGTCTTGTCGATTTCCATGTTCGTTTCAATCTTGTAGACACAAATGTTATCATCGTCAGGAGATGGAGGCATTCATCAAGTCACCTCTCCAACCTCCCTGGAGCTCTCCGCAACTGTGATGGAGTGTTTGATCCGTGCAAGGTCAGGTTTGCATGGATTGTTGAACCTGACGTGAAGATTACAGGGGGAGGAGTGCAAGAAATTGCTTCTATCACTTATCTCTCAAGTAAACCATGACAAACATCATCTGGCCGGCCTCGTGATAGCTGTTCTCTCTGCTCCCAGAACTCATGCAAACCATCAGGCAACAAGACCTGTTGAGCACCTGCTTGTCTTGCAGACGACGAAACAATCTTTGCAGCTGATCTGTAAAGACAAGTTCAAGATGGGAAGGCATGGCCGATCAAGTTTCAACCTCCTGCGGTTCAATCTTGACATGATAAGGGCTGCCTTGAATGTGAACTCCATCTTTTCAACAGCCAAGTGAGAGGATGAAGGTGATGCAGAGGTAGCAGGCAGATCTGTCTAGATGAAAGCAAGAAGGGAAAGAGGAACAGCATGGGGAGAGATGACGCTGGAAGTGAGAAAAGAGAGGGGGATACGATGATGAGGGCAAGGCAAGGCGGTGAAGGATGAGGAGGAGGAACGGGTTGGAGGAGGAGGGTGGAAGGTTGATGAGGGGAAGGACCTAGTAGGATCCAGAGGCGAGCCTCCCCAGCATGCTGGGCGATCAGCTCGCCATCGTAAGTCCCATCGAAGTTGTCGTCGACGAAGATCTGAAGGGAAACACTCACGGCAAGGGAAGTGGGATGAGAAAAGTTAACGTTGCACTCGCAGTTCCCGTCTTCGTAGAACAGCAGAGCTGAGAAACGGTCCCCTCCCTGTAATGGCATCAGAAGACTCCTCTCCCTCCCTCCTCCTCCTCCTCCTTCATCCTCGTCCTCATCCTCGTCCTCGTCCTCGTCCTCGTCCTCCCTTCCGACCCACCTGATCCACTCGCTCTCCATCCTCGTACGCTGCGATGATCTTGAACTTCGACTTCTTCCCTGCTTGTACACAGCACGTTGCTTCCCCAACAGCCTGCAGCTTATTTCATCCTCCTCGCCTTCCACCTGTCTCGTCTTCCTGCACTTCCTACTCGTGCTATTTTCCCCCCTCCGTACAATTGTCTTCTCTATCTTCCAATCGTCCTCCTCCTCCTCATCATCATTATCATCATCATCATCATCATCATCATCATCATCTCTATCATCATCATCATCATCCTCATCATCCTCATCCTCATCATCATCCTCATCATCATCATCCTCATCCTCATCATCCTCATCCTCATCATCATCATCATCGTCATCGATTTTCGTTGCAACTTCATCTGACCTTGCAAGCCTGTGCGTGAGTAGATCGCTGGAGGATGCAGACATGTCGTCTGCCGCACTCAATTCTCTGCACCGTCTTCCTGTCAAAGCCCGCGATGCTTCGCAGCTGTGAGGAGGAGGAGGAGGAGGAGGAGGAGAAGGAGGAGGAGGAGGAGGAGGAGGGGAAGCTCGACCCCCCCCACGCTCTCAGTGCTCCTCTCCTCGTCAGCGCGATCACTTCGCTCTGATTGCATTTGCACAGCTCCACCTCCTCCTCCTTGAGGAACTCCATCTGCCTTGGCTCGCTCAGGTAGGGATGGGACGTCGAGCTGGCCCCCAGCTGACCGACGTTGTTCAGCCCGAAGCCGAACACCCTATGATCGAAGGCAGCGCAGACGGTGTACTCCTCCCCGCATGCCACCATGGACATCACGATCCCCACCAGGGCCCCAACTCTCCTGGGCATGGACAAGTCCTGACAGTCGCCATGGCCGAGTTGTCCGCAGCTGCCGGAGCCGAAGGTGAACACCTCCCCTCCTCCTGTCACGACTGCTGTGTGTCCTGCCCCGCAGGAAGCATGCTGTACCCCTTCACCCCGCAGACTTTCGACGCATTGGGGTGAGAGGAGGTCGCTCGTGCTCCCTACTCCACATTGTCCTGCAAACAGCCGATAAGATGGAAAGTACGAAGATGGAGAAGATGGAGAAGATGGAGAAGATGGAGAAGATGGAGATGATGGAGATGATGGAGATGATAAGCAGGACGAGAAACGGGAAGATGATCGGGGAGAGAGATGGAGAAGAGGACCAGGAGGAGAAGTGAAGGTGTGATGAAGGATGAGGTGTTTCTGGAAAAACTGATAGGAGCAGGAGGAGCAGGATGAAGAGGAGGGGCAGAAAATGAAGGCGGAGAGAACCATTTTTGTTCCATCCGCACGTGTACAGCTCCCCCCCAGCAAGCACAATGACCGTATGCCCGACACCGCACGTGACCGCCAGCACGTCCCTTCCTCTCATCGCCTGCACGACGCTGGGGGTCGTCAAGTTGTCTCTGCTCCCATGCCCGAGCTGCCCGTTGGCTCCCAGCCCCCACGAAAAGACCCTCCCGTCCTCGCTGACCACCACCGTGTGTGCTCCCCCGCAGGACACGGACATGCACGCGACTCCGAAGAGCGAGCCGACGAAGGTCGGGTGCTCCGTCTGCTCCTGCGTCCCAGTCCCGCACTGCCCGTACTTGTTCTCTCCCCAGCACAGCACTTCCCCGCTCCCCATCACCATGGCCGAGTGTACGAGCCCGCAGGCCACGTCCCGCACCTGCCGGCCCATGGCCTTCTTGAGCATCCTTGGGGTACTTGACGACACCTGCTCGCCCACAGCTGATCCCGCCTGTCCCCAGAAGTAGACGTATCCTCGTCCTCTCACGCCCTCGCTCTTTTCCTCGCACGCCTTCAAGCTCGTCAGGATCGTCGCGTCCGTCGGGCTCAGTGCCAGCGCCCGTCTGAAGTTGTCCGCTGCCTCGACGGGTCTGCCTGCAGCGAGGAACGCGCTCGCGAGACGGAAGTAGCTCTTGGCCCAGCGAGGAGCGAGGTGGACACAAGAAAGCGCGTCGGCGAGGGCGAAGCCATAATGGCCCAGTTTCAACCTGGCCGCGCTCCTGTTGCTCCACAGCGTCTGGTCTTGCCCGCTCGCTTCCAGAGCTCGTGTGTACGCTTCCACCGCTTCCTCGTACTTGCCCTCAGCAAACAATGCATTTCCTCTCGCCTTCACATCCGCACACACAGAGCTGGTGCCTCCCATGGTCTCGGATCCTCGCCCTCCCGTCCCCTTCCCCTCCCCGTCCTCCTTGACGCTTTCTTCCTTTACTTCCTCTTTTGCCACTCTCCTCCTCCCCTTCTCCCTTCCTGCCGACTGTCCACCCGTCTCCGCATCCTCTACCTCTCTAGCTGTTATCGCCCCGTCGCTCCTCTCTCCCTCCGTCCTCCTCTCTCCCCGCCCCAGTCCAACAAACTCATATCAGTTTTTTTTTGGGAACCCGCATCCCACCCGTCCTGCCTGCTTGCCTGCCTGCTGCCCTGCTCCCTTACGCTGTGCCTCCCACCAATCCTCCCACCTCTCCGTCCTCCTCTCCCCTTTCATCTTGTTGTCAGCACCCTCGTCCTCCCTAGAACCTCTTCCATCAGCTCTTCCATCCTAGAACCTCTCCCTTCCTAGAACCTCTCCATCACTCTCACGTTCGTGTCATATTTACTTCATCAACCAACAACCCAACAGCCCAAGTCCCTGCTGTCATTGAGTAGACGACAAGTTTCCTCGCTGCAGCCAGCGGATCAGGTCCTTGGGCACATTCCTCTGTACTGACGTCTTCTCCTTCGACTGCGGACTCTGAACGATCTCCCGCGTTCGGTCTGTGGCGATGGGCGTGTGGTGGAGATCCCCAGGAGAGGGCAGGGGGGAACCTAGCTTTCCTGTAGGCGTCATGCAGTTGGCAAGCTGATTCTCTGAGTCGTTGAGCAGGTAGTCAGCTTGCTGAGAGCGTCCAGGACGCCGGTAGGAAGGAGGAGATGCCTTCTCTTCCTCCTCGCCCGCTGTGCGTGGAGGGTACTTGCTCACGTCCATGAATCCCTCACGCAGGCTGATCATCGAGCGCTCGAAAGACCTGCGAATCGAAGGGGAGGAGGAGGAGGAGGAGGAGATGAAAGCTCCAAGGGGCACTAGCTCGTTAGCGATCCTCGACATCTTCGCTCGGATCTCCTTGTAGCGTGAAGAAACCTCATCCAGCTCCTCCGCCCTGCTGTCCATGAAGCACTGCTTCCATCGCACAAGAGACCGCAGTTTCTCCTTCCTGCAGCTCATCGCACCAGCACGCTCCTCCCTCACGCGTTCCCTCTGCTCTTCGTGCAGCCCGGCGACAAGCCTCTTGAACGCCGCGGCCTTCTTGTAGAGCGGTATTCTTCGCTCAACATGGAAGTTCTCAAGGTTCTGAAGCTTCGCGATGGTCTTCTCATGGTGCCGAATCTTCGATTCAAGCTTGTGGATGATGTCTTTCTTTGCCTTGATCTCATCGTGACAAGCCCTTAGCTCGGACTCTTTCTGGACGAGGGTGTCCTTCAGAGTCTGGAAGTTGCGGGAGACGTTCTCCACAACGTGATGAAGATCCTTGATCTCCTGACTCTTCGCCTCGTTGTCCTTGATCGATTGCGCCAGCTTCTTGTCTTTGTCGTCCAACTTTGAGATCAAGGAAGCGTTCTCAGCTGCTTTCTCCTTCAGCTTCTTCTTAAGTTTCTCGATCTCCTTCTCCTGGTTCTCATCTTTGACAACAACAGGAGCCTTAGCAACTTCGGAGCTCTTGCTTTCCCGGCACAACTCCTCCACAGAACCTGACAGCGAGTGAAGATGAACCCGTACGCCAAGGGGCAGGGCGTCCAGGTATTCCCGAACTTTCACAGGAATCTGCATGTTGTCTGTGGAGGGCCTGTGACGGGCCTCCCTGTCAAGGTCCCCCCTGACCATCTGAAGGCGTTTCCTCACTCCTATGGGAAGAGCCCGGATCTGAGGAGTCTCCTGCTCTATCATGCAGAGCGATGTCACATTCAGGTTCATCGCGTCTAGGAAACCTTGGTACGGTTGGGACATCCTGGCTTGCACGTCTGGCCTTTGGACGTTATTCGTGGGCTGACTTAGCAAATATTTGATGGTTCCGATGCTGAAAATATCGCTCAGTACCCAAATGCGCATGAACAATCTGAAAACTTACGGAATTCGCAGGGAAAGTAACTGCGACTTTGTCATGGCCAACAAAGCTGGCTTTGTCTGCAAAAGCAAGAAGGTCAGCTATGAAGCCAAATCAGCTTTATGCTATTACCAATGCCACATTAAATTTGCAAAGACTTGTGATAAAGCTTTCGTGCTTGTTTACCCCAACGCTTTCCTCAATCTCTGTTGTTGCAGCAGGCGCCGAAGGACTTGTTCGCGACATAGGGGAAATCAAAGATTGCGTTGCGGGAGAGGATGACTGGAGAGTGTGTGCAGGAGCAGCTGGAGGGGCTCGCGAGTGTGCAGGAGCAGCTGAAAGTTTACCGTGCTGGGCGGTTGTCGATGTCTGAACCGGTTGCTTGAACAACGAAGACTGACTAGTCGTTGATGACTGTCCAAACGTGAAATTCGATGTAGCTGTTGAGCCGAAGGAAAACGTTGCCGTGGAGGTAGGCATGGAAAGAGCAAAAGCTTCAGGTTTTTTCGGGGATTCCCTTTTAGGCTCCGCTATATCCTCGGGTAGTGTGACAGACGAACGTTGGGGTGTCAGCCGAAAGCACGCAGGTATGGCATTCTTCGAAGAGTTCGGCGGGTCGGGTAGAATGGAACCAAACTGAGCTGACTGGGACGGCTGCACAGAAGCTTTGGGCACAGAAGAGGACCAGGATGGCGTGCTTGAGTGGGAATGCGAGGAGGCCCTGTTGGGAGCATGAGCAGAGGTCGTGGCGGGAGGAGGGGCAAATCCTGAAGTCTTCTGAGGAGGGGAGCTAGAGACAGTGGAAGAGATAGGGACGGAAGGAGACTGAGAGGAGGAGGAGGGGAAGGGCGAGTCTTGCAGCCAGTCGTCGTCGTCATCGTCGGCTAGATCCGCCCAGCTCATGGCGCGCGGGGATGATTCGTTGGGGGTAGGGGTACTCAGAAATCTATCATATGTACAAATGATCTTTGTTAATTTGAAATTTTTATTGACTGAGTTTTATTCAGTTTCCTCGCTCGGGAGGGTACGTCGTATTCCAAAACCGTTACTCTTTCCGTTCAGTCTTGCTTCAGTGTCCGTTACATTTCGTTGTTCCGTTGACTCCCTGATACCTCTGAGGAGGGCACATGGGCAATGGAGGACGCGGCGGAGAGGCGCGAGCGGCTGGAGGCGATGAGGAAGAGGGCGAGAGAGGTTAGAGAGAGGCAAGAGCAAGAAGACAAGGAGCTGCAGGACGAAGCTGGCAGAAAGCACTCTGCTCCACCGGTGCAAGGAGGAGGCGAGGAGCAGGGAGGTCAGGTAAATACGAACGCTTCGGGATCTGCGAGGCTGAGGGCGTTGGTAAGCAGGGGATGGAGGGACTGCCAGGGACTCCAGGGATGCAAGGACATGCAGGAATTCCTCCTGTGGGAAGGTTTCTACAAACGAACGCTATGGGGATGCCAATGCCGCATGCTGGTCTGTGCTTGCTCCTGATCCTTCTCAACAGTCTGGCTTATCATGCGGCAGGTGATGGCAGTACTCCCGGGTGAGGAGAAGCTCCTGATGTGAAGCTCATGTACTGATGACTCTCAAGATACTATGCTTCATTTCATCTGCCGTCTGGCGGTATGAACGGCAACTTCGAGGTGCAGGCGTTTTCCGCCATGGATTCGCATGCAGGGTATGGGGATGTGGCAGGGAGTCTTGCTCCATGGTGGTGAGATCGTTGCCGACAGGAACGAAGGGGACAATCATCGTCCTTTCCATCACAATCAAACACAACAAGGTCTCGGCACGCCTCGCTGTTCTGATGATGCTTCCTGCTTCGCCGTCGTAACATCAGTAACGCTTCCTATCAGGTCAATGGCAACATGGAAGAGGACGAGGCGATCATGGGTTCAGAGGCAGAGGACATCACCCCCGTGATGACTTCGGAGGAGGCAGAGGGGGAGGAGGCAGAGGGGGAGGTGGCAGAGGGGGAGGTGGCAGAGGAGGGTGGAGAGGAGGTGGGAGAGGAGGAGGGAGAGGCGGGGAGGAGAGGGGCGAAGGGGGAGGAGGGGCGAGACCATACTACAAGAGCTCATTCGTTGAAGACCCCTGGGCCCCATTGATGAAGAAATGACGAGGACAGGAGGGAAGCAACGGGGGGGGTGTTGTGCCTGCTCCTTCTCTCCTTTCAAGATGGAGGAAAAAAGTGTTTTGTATTCTCGGAATGAACTCTTTTCCTTTGTATGCAGCACCTCCTCTTACATCGCTTGCCTCCACTCCTCGCTATCGTCACAGGCTCGACGAGTACCTCAAATACATGTCCCCGAACCTGCAGATCCCGGCATGCTCGCTGTGCTTCAGCATGGAGGTCTGGACCTGCTTCCTGAGATGCAGCAGCATCTCTTCATTTTGCAGCTCCCCTCGCTGTTTAAGGAGCAGGAGCGCCAGGTGTAGACTTGCGTACTGCAACTCCTGGTCGTCCTCGTGCAAGATCATGAGGTGCAAGACGATCTCATAAACGTACTCGTCATCGTACAGGTCCCAGAACTCCAGGTCCTCGCAGATGTTCGCCAGCAGCCATATCCCATTCCTGGCGATCTTGGGTTCCTGCTCGTGCTGAGCAACGTAGTCGATGAGCTTCTCCGAGTGATGCAGGAGGCTGGAGCTGTCGTGCTTGGAGATGTTGCAGAAGATGAGGCAGACGCTCTCCACAAGACTGCCGACCCCTCGATGAAGGTCGAGGACCCGGAAGAAAACCTCCACGTGCTGGGCTATTGCCTTGTGAAGCCTGGAGGCTGGCGAGGAGAGGATGCGAATGGAGGTGAAGAGGTGCTGGGAGCTGTCCTTGTCCACCTTGCATCGGTCGAGCAACTTGAGGAGGAAGGAGGATAGGCCGCTGTCATGGCATGCTTGCTTCCGTTCCTCGTGCCCCCAGCACGCTGCCTGCAGCACCAGGCAGGCGTTCTCCAGCACAGACTTCAAGTCCCACATGTAGGTCAGCGCCGTCTTGATCTGCCCTATCACGTTGACCGGGATCATTTCCGGATGCTGGACTGCGATGGCTCTGAGCAGTTTCAGGTACTTGTCAACCAACCCGGTCGCCATGGCATCTCGGCCCCTGGTCGGGTCCAGCTGATCTACCACCTGAGAAGCTCGCGTGACAGCTTCTTCGGTCAAGTTCGCTTCTGCTCCAACAACTTCTCCATGGTTGACTGTGGCGTTCACGGCAAGGAACAGCATGCTCTCGTTGACTAGCTCCGACTCCCTCGCCCTGTCGAGGCTTCTTACCGCCTTCTCGCTGTAGCCGCAGGCGAGGAGGGGAGCCAGTACCGCATCGAACTTGCAGAGGCTGTTGGCCAGCGCGAACAAGCGGGCGGTGAAGACGTCTTGCTGAGCATCGCCTTGCATGAAACCCGTGAGGAGCTGCACGAGGCTGTCGAGGGCGCCCGACTTGCTCACGTTCTCCTCGTTCTGCGCAAAGATGGCGAGAGCTCCGAGGGCCGCAAGTTGATGTCTCCTCTCCTGGTCGTCGGCATCAGAGGCCTGCAGGTCCTGCCCCTCCCTTGTCGGACTGCTCAGTCGATGGACAAGGAAGGAGACAACGCTCGGATGGACGGCGAGCGAGTCGGGGCTGATCTTTCTCCTTGTGCGCCAGTTGACGTCAACAAAAGTCTCAAGGATGCTATCGAACCATGGCTCGACTCGTGAGGACAACATGTCGAACTCTATCGACTTCACCTGTCGTTGAGCAAGCTCCGTCAAGGTCCCAGCGGCACAACATGCACCATGACAGTACCTGAACAAACAGCGACTTGTCTCGGAAGCTCTTCAACACAACAGCAACGAAGGTTTCTGAATCAGCCTTGGAGGAACCCTGGACGTCCGTCCTTGCTCCTGCCTTTCTCCTGGACGCAGCGGTCGGGCCAGTGGGCCTGACGGAGCTGGAGAGACGTCGGAACCCTCCAGTGTGCCTGTCATAGTCAACAAGATGCTTCACGACAGAGACATCGCACGCGCTGATCCTCTCCCTCATGGCCTTGGCGTACGACTTGAGAAAAGAGAGAACGACGTTGATGCTTGCTTCGTCCGCCAGCGCCTCCAACTTCTCGTGCACCTCCGCGGGAACATCCGACGAGCTCCGATCCAAGTCCTCGTGCACCACTCCTTCCTCCAGCAGATGCAGGCATACCTCCACCTCTGAAAATTCTCTAGAGATCCTCTCCTCGCCAGAGCTCGGACTCTCTTCGGCTGCCGCTATCATCCTCGACAGGACGTCCCTCCACCAGTCCTTCCAGACTTGATGTTGCCCAGCCTCGTGGAAGATCGACCGGATAGCCTTCCTCTCCACGTTGCGCGCGAGCACTTCAATGTCCTCTAGTCTGACCTGTAGCATGTCAGACCCCTCCACCTGCTCCTTGGCTGCTGGTGGGGGAAAGGGTCTAAACATGCTGTCTTCCGCCATGCACAGCAGTGTAACGGCGACATCGAGGTCAAACTCAGTCGTCAGAGGCGCGTTCTTCTTGAGGAACTCCCTCCTCGCCCTCTCCTCCCTCAGAATCTCCTTCGCTCGCTCCTCTGCCCGCTGGTTGAAGTGGTCCTGGTAGCTGAACACTCCTGCCAGCGCCTTCCTCCACAGACTGTACCTCGGCGCGTGTGCGGACGCGAAAATGCTGATGCTGGGATACTCGAGCTGGTCCACGAGCTCTTCGATCGCTCGCGTCACGTCCTCTGCCGCTCTGTGCCTCGCATGCAGCCATCGCGCATCGCGCATGTGGCTGCGGCCGGTAGCCGCGGCTACCAGTGTAGGACCAGGAGGAGAATAGTGACAATGAAAGAGGGGAAGGAAGAGGACGGAGGAAGGAGAGGGAAAGGAGGGGAAGAAGGGGAGGGGAGGGGAGGGCAGAGCAGAGGGCAGAGGGGAGGGTCTCAGTTAGGGGAGGGAGGGCGCTGGAAGAGAAGGGGCAGGTGAGGGTGGAGGGAGCGGAGGGAGCGGAGTAGGGAAGGACAAGGTTATTGGGTTCAGTTTCGGCGAAATAAAAGGACAGAGAGGGGAGGTGGTCAAGACTCTTAGGGGAGGGAGCGAGTGAAGAGGATAAGGAGGAGCGAGAGGCGAGCGAGACACACGAGAGGTAAGAGCGAGAGAGTTTATGATGCATTTCACTCTTAGTTCATGTTAGCGATGCAGCAGCATCGCGGGCAAGTAGAGTCAAACTAGAGTAGCTCTTACACAAAGTCGTAGCCGTTGTTGGCACCCTTGCTCAACCCAGCTAACGGATCGTCCCCGCGGTTCTTCTTGAGCATGTATGCCTCCATCTCCTCCTCCGTCACGTCTGTGGTCGAAAGGCTGTTGTACTTCCTCTTCCTCTCGTCCGCCTCTCCGTCTGCAGCCACATGTCAGCTTCGTTACACACAGGACAAGGCTCATCCTACCATGCTTCTCACGCCTCTCCTCGTCTTTGAGCGCCTTCTTTAGCGCCTTCTTGTCAAAACTGTCGGACGAGCGTCCGACCATGCGATCGCCGATGGCAAGCTTCTTGGAGCCTTCAGACTTGTCCTTCTTCTCTTGCTTCTGGTTCTGGATCTGAGCCTGCATCGTCGCAACCATCTGGCTTGAGTTCTCGAAGAAGGGAGTCAGACCCATCCGGCTTCCCTTCTGCTTTTCAAAGGCCTCGATGCCCGTCTTGCCCGTGCAGTACGAGTTGCGGATGAACTGACAGCAGCAAGCGTATCCCCACTTGCCGTTGTACCAGAAGGAGCCCCAGACTTTGGTGTGGTTGTTGGTCATCTTATCTTCCTCGTACTTGGAGTTCAAGACCCTTCGCTCCTGTAGCCGAGCACACAATCAGCGAGACAGAGTCAAGAGACTATCCATGTCCTCACCTGACCCTTAACGATGGTACCATCATCAGCGTACTCCACATACTGCTCGGTGTTCCCAAAGATGACAGCTCGTGGAATGGATTTCTCTGCGTATTCCTGCCCGCCATAATGCTCGTAGAGCTGCTTCTTTTGCTTTTCAACCAGAGACGTCTTCTTATCCTCGAACTGGGTGTGCAGCAGCTCGGCCTGCGTCGGCATACCCAGCATGTGCACATCCTGTCCTCTCTCGTACGCCTCCAACTCATACAGCTGCTGCTTGGCAACCTTGACAGTATCTCCTGTATATCGGATGAAATTCTCACCGGCATAATCCAATTCATGGGGATTCTTGTCTGGATTAGGGTTGGAACGCATCGAACGAGTCTTGGGATCGTAGTAGGCAGACTTCACGTCAAGATTGCGAAGATACTTGGCAGTGTCCTCACGAATACGGAGATTTCTGACAGAAACTCTTGTTTGCATACCCAGTCGGCCAGTGTCAAGTTGCTGTCCTACCAATTTACCATCCTGGTCGATCATCTCTGCCTTCTCCGCGTCTTTCTGCTCGTCCTCATCGTCAGAGGACGACGAGTCACTTTCGTCCTTCTGCTTCACTCTCGACGCAGAAGACTCTCCCTCCTGCAGTGACTTGTCGACATTTTGCTCGCGCAACGCCTGCCGCTCCTTTGCCAGCAGCTCGTGTCGTTTCACGACCTTCATGTACATATCCGCATCGAACCCGTTCCACCTGTCGCGCTTGCCGGCATAGGTTGTATCATATCCGTTTGCACGAGGAGCATCAGTGTCATCATCTTTGGACTTCTTCTTCTCTCCGAATTCGTCCCTCGTCCGCGAAACGGTCTTCCCCTTCCCAACCGGCTGGACTGCACGAGCCGCAACTCCCTCAGTGATGGACTGAACTTTGAGATTCCTTTGATGTTTCAAAGTGGGTCCCTTGGAGTTCAAGTACCATGGCGCAGAGGACATGTACTGTGGGATGTGAGGGTTGATCTCATTTCCTTCCTCATCTCGCTCTGGCTCGATCGCTCCAGACTTTCTAAGCTCCTCCAGCTCTTGTCGCTTCTTGAAATCCTCTCTGCTGAGACGACCTCCCTGGTCCCAGCTGTTTGCAGAAGCCATCTTCTTCAAAGAGGCGGGAGACGAATATCAGCAAGAGTTGCTTTGGAGTGAAACCGCTATGTATGAATCCACTGCCTGCAGGGAACATGTCAGGAATATGAACAAACAGAACAGCCAAACAAGCTAGAACAAGGTTTGCCAAAACTCATGCGTCTCATTCTTCTTCATCAGATATCATTACACTTCCAGCATCTTTTTATGATGCTGGTAGCTCCTTCCTTGATCTCAACAAACAACGCTGCCACAGTGGACCCAAATCACAATCCTGTTCCCGAATCCCTCCCAATGATCTTCTTGCTTTACTTCTTTACAACTGATCTCTATAATTTCTGGCTGCAATCGCAGCTGTTCTCCACCTCAAGACCTTGTCGTCAAACTATCACCAACCCTTCTTCCTCGTGCATGTTTCTAACTCACTCGAGTGCAGTGGCATCAATTGCATCATCACTCTTCTGTGTCGCATCAGGACAAACTTGCTCTCTCTCCTCCTCCTCCTTCACGCGCCCTCCTCCTCCACCCTTCTCTACCTGTCCACCCTACTCCTGCATGCTGCGCGCCTCTCCTGCGTTTTATTTTTACAACCATTATTGGTACAGCCCACAGGCACAATTTAATAAATATTGAATAATTAATAAGTTTTAATTTAGATGAAATCACTCATATGGAAGCATTGTAAATTAATTACAGTACATTATTTAAAAAGTTATTGTAGTAAAATCACATTGTTGTAGCAAAATTACAGTACTGTTCTTTGCTTATTAGGGGCACCTATAACGCGAGAGCCGATTTGCATCGAGATATTGAAATATTATTACCGGACCCTGAAATATGTTTGAAACTTATAACAATTTATTTTGATGCCCTGCCGATAGCACTAATAATACTGAGTTGGTTCTGAAATTCGGAAAACTCTTTGACGGCCGGGGCCGGGCCCGGGCCGCCGTGCGGCCGGGCGGCCGTGACTCTGACCGTTCCGACAACGGAGACTCACTCGGACACGGCGGGGATAATCGGATGACTCCGAGTGATGAGGGGACTGCCCCGGGAGCCTTGAACTTCAGACAGTGGCACCAGCGACCGACGGTACCGTATGGTATCAGTGTTTCAAGTTTGCTAGCCTGAGGCCCTGATGCAACGAGAAAGTTCAATCACGGTGCTAAAATTTATTGCCAAACATGTAAGACCTGGAAAGTTCCCAAGCATTCTAACGCTCATGGAATGATTGGAGGTCAGCCGAACGCCCTCTCCTGAATTGCGCGACATAAGGATTGAACCTGCAGAATACAAAGTGAATAAAAATCGGCCATAAAAAACAGGCTTCTTCGTCTTTCACCAGGGATACTCGTTGAGTTGACTGTACATCCTGCGAAACTCACTGCCACCCATATGAGATTCATGGTCATCGATTCCGTTCATGCCGGAGAACTCTGCGGGGAAAAGAAAACTTCAGTACATCCAGCAGCGACAGTGCGGGCACGCTACGAGACCTGAAAAGCCTTGCAAGCCTCCGTTTGTGACCCTCACTCGCTCCTCCAGCGCGGCGAGGGAGCTCTCGAGCTGATCATACACACTCCGAACGTCGGAGAGGATCGAGTTGCACTCAGAGACTACATCGCGTCCATTCCCGTCCACGTTGCTTTCCTCCTCCGGCCATGCTTCCCTGTCGAGAAACAGTCAGGCGCTATTCGACCTCCAACACATCGCAGGGTGCAAGCACCTTGAGAACCCAACTCCTCTCTTCGTTGCCACCATTCTCGACCTGCTCGGGGCTACTCCTGCAGAACTTGCTGCTTGCTTCGAGCCTGACGACGACGGGGCAGCAGGGACCCGTTCCGATCCCTTCTTGGAGAGAGCAGGGGTCCCTCCTTTGATGATTCCCCTCGGTCTCCTCCCAGGATCCATCTTCTTGTCTGAGTCCTGCCGAGTCTGCTGTTTGACATGCACATCTGGCAAGATTACTTCTTTCTCTGGCGGCGGCTTTGCAGCATTCCGTCGAAGATCAAACTGTGACAGGTTGTAGTTGGCCATCTCCAGCAACATCTTGTTCATGGCAAAGTTTTGCTCATAACCATTCCTGTCATTTCCCTGGTAACTGCTTGGTTGAACGGGCTGTTGTCCTCTGCTCATGAGGTTCTGCGGTTCGAAGAACTTCCGATGTGATGGCTGCTGGTCATAATCAGAAACAGCATGAGGGCTTTCGAGAGAGTCGAGTCGAGCTTGATATGGGTTCTTGTTTTCCTGTGTCGGAGCTTTTGCCTCAGGCATTCTTTCCTCTATTGCATACGATTTCTCTTCTCTATCTGTCTTCCCTTGCTCCCTGTGTAATTGCTTCGCGTCGTTTACCTTCGCGCCAGCCTGTTGCTCCTTCTTTGTCTGGGCTACTTTGGACAGTTTCGATTCTATCTTCTTCTTGATCTGCAGCAGGAGCTTCTCAGCAGAATCGTTGGCGCCACTGCAAAGATCCTCAATGTCCCCCTTCCCTAGATTGATGCCAAGATGCTTCTTCAGGACCTTGTGGTTCAGAACTATCCAATTCTCTCGCTTCCTGGCCACCGAGAGGGACTCCGAGTAGTTGTGAAGGTCGACGGCCGTGGGCAGGAAGTTCTTGATGACCTCCGCACACATGCAGCCATCGCTGAAGTCCCTCGCCAGGTTCTTCATCCCCTTCCTCAGCGGTATCTTCTCCAGCCATCCCTCGATCTCCTTTGCTACCACCATGGCGCCTCCGTCCTGCCGTTATCCGTTACAAAAACGGTTTCAATCACGTTATGTTGCGAATGAAACGGGCGTCGTTACCAGAACGTGAAGCGACTCGAGTAAATATGGCATGAGGCCATTAGCAAGTATGTGAAGGGAAGGAGAAGGAGGGAACGAGGGAGGGAGGGAGAGACAACATAACAAGAATGGAAGCGGTTACAAGAACCAGGAGGAAGGGAGGGAAGGGGGGCGATAGGAGCGAGCGAGCGAAGCTATCTATGGGAGAGAGAAAATTCAGTGCGATGAGCAGAGGTATAATACGAGAGAGGCAGGAAATTGAGAGATGCAGGAAGGAAGGCTCAGTATACCATGCACAAGATGAGTGGATTGTGACAGGAGCATAGAGCAGATACGGAGCTGATAGCTTCACGATGTTGAGAAGCGAAGGGTAGCATGAACGAGGCTGACGCATGCGGGGAGCGCTGTCTGCCGTTCCAATGCTTGCTTTGCGATGTCGTGCCTCGATTCATGACCTCGTCCATGTGCAGGAAGAAGAGGATCGCTGATAACGATTTTACGTCTTCACTTCCTTGTCCTCCTCCTTCCCCCGCTCCTCATCCTGCTTGACCTCGCGGGGGCGCATCTCCCGGTGTTGAGAATGCCGGGAGGGTGCGATGCGATACATGCAGCAACGGGTCTGGAGGAAGACGACATGGGAGGCAACCTTGCGGTAGACTTTCTCAACGCCATTGCCGACAGCGATGACGAAGAGCCACGGGATACGACCATGTCACAACACAAGGCATCATCCGTGATCAGCGGTGATCCGTACACCCCCTACAAGCTTAGGTCGTTTGGCTCCGTTCCCTCAGAGCAGAGACCGATATGCTCTGCTGAAGGAGAAGATTCTGAGAGAGAGTCGAGCCAGTCGAGCCAGCATGGCGAGGGGGGAGACGATATAGACCTCGCGAGTATTCGCGCAGTGTACAAAGAAGGGATCACGAGCTCAAAGTCTATCGATGAAGTTCTCGCTTCTCACGGTAAATTTCTTCCTCGCATCTGTCCGTGATTGTGGTGACTGTCTTGAAAGGTGACAAGGACTGGAACAATCTCTTGCAGAGAGAAGATGTAGGCAACGGGATAGATGGCTTCACGGTCAACCAAGTGATTCTCCAAGATGAATGCTCAAGGCTGATCGCGGAGACGGAGAAGATGGGTTATTCTTTCTGGAATCCTGACAGGTTGAATATTCCCCCTTTAGCTAGACATCCGCTGAACACTCTCTTGGCTCGGCAGCACAAGAACAGACTACAGGAACGCAGACACGATCGAGATCATCAATGAAAAGTTTGCGCAAGATTTGTGGTCGCGCATCAAGCACCTCGTCGTGCCCTGTGTGACCATATCTCCGGGAGAGGTAACTGCGGCAAGTGCCAGAAGAGAGAAGAAACTGAGGTGCTGCGAGCAGAGCAGATGGTCCCGTGAGCTGGAGGGCACATGGGTGGCAGTGGGTCTGAATCCTAACATGTTGTTCAATCGATATCACCCCGGCGGTCACTTCTCCCCTCACACGGACGGCTACACCATTATTGACTTCAACACGCGGTCCATGTACTCAGCGCTGTTCTACCTCAACGACTGCCCCAAGGTGGCTGAGCTGGTTAACAGCCTTGTCTCCTCACTGTCAACTCAGGGAGGTGCGACGAGGATGATGGAGGAGTCAGGAGATGCGCTCGGCGATCACGTGCAGGTGGATGAGGGATGGCGAGCGTTGAGTGGGAGCTGAATCAGAGCAGGAGACGTTCGTGAAGGACAGTGAGGGCAGGCATCGCTTCGAAGACCACAGGATACGCTCGAGCGTGTCTCCGAGAGCAGGCAGCGCGCTCTTCTTCTTTCAGGTCCTCCCGCCTCGTCTGTTGCTCGTGGGGTGAAGATGGGAGGCAGGACACGCTGCATGAAGGCGAGCCGGTGGGGGAAGGGTGCATGAAGTACATGATTCGCTCGGACATCCTCTACCAGAGGGACCCGAAGATCTTCGATGAGCCCAACGACCGGGAGGCCTACCGCGTCTTCCGTGAGGCGGAGCTGGCGGAGGCAGGTATTCACTGCAGCGTCCAGCTGACCTTGAACTGTAGTCACACATGTTCGCAGAGGACCCGAACAAGGCGCTGAGACTGTTCAAGGAGTGCTGCAGGCTTAGCCCGGGGCTGGCTGCTGTCTACGGCTTGTAGAGCTCTATGGGAGCAGCTCGCCGCCTTGCATGCACACCTGGAGTCTCGAGGAACGAATAATAGCATTCAATGAATGGAGAACCAGTTTCCTCTGCTCGACGATGGGGTTGCTAACGTACAAGTTTCTGTCTCTATGCTACAAATCAGGAACATGATTGACTTCTTGGGTGTTACGACAGCCACGCCTGCACCCTCTCGTTAGCGAGGTCCAGGACACACGTCACCGAAGTCACCGAAACTTTCTCGTAGGTGAAGAAGAGGATGGCAGTGTTAGGAACGACGCGGAGCAAGTGCATGAAGAGCCCTCCATACAATCCCCTGCGGTGAGGTATGAGGATGAAGCAGGCAGGCAGCAACAAGGGGATACCTCATTCCCTCCTCTATCCAGATCTTCCTAACACAGTGGATGGAAGATTTGTAGATCTGCAACCGCACTCAGTCACCTCCCGCCAACACCTCAAAGCTGTCCTCACCTCGCTCGCTCCTCTCTCCCTCATGCGAGTTCGGATAACCTGCGAGCGGCAAGATCGGCATCCTTGGCAAGAAGCATGTACCCGGTCACCTCATGGGGGTAAGTTGACACCGAAGCCGCGAATTTGGCGATCGCTGCCGTCGACAGGTACTCGAGGTTCGACAGCTTCTTAGAAGACTCCTCCGACATGCCTTGCTTCCGGAAGTGGATCGTGTTCTTCAAGTACTCGTACAGAACAAAGTGCAGCGCGCTCTCGGAGATTCCCCAATAACTGGACCCAGTCTCACAAACAACCCGAGTTCACAGCTCACTGCAATCTCTCATACCTCGGCACCAACCCTTTGAAGAAGCCCCGGGCTCCTTCCTCCCGCAAGATCTGACGGACAGCCTGTGCACCATCTCAGGGCGAACCCATCACGTCATTCTCACGAAGCCTCACATGAAGGGAGCCCTTGTACTGCACGCCAGCATACCGGCTGTTGGAGTTCAAGTCCCTGCTCTGGAGCTGCAACCGGGTCTTCACAACCTGCGCAACGATGAGGAGAGGAAGGAAATAGGAAGAGCGTGCGCTCACCCAGACAGGGTTGATGATCGTGGCCGACAAGCCCCCAGCCACGACGGCCGAGGCAAGGTGTACAGGGGCCTCGTCGGCGTGCCCTCGGCTGAGCAGAGAGCCCTTGGTGCTGTTGTACGTCCAGAAGTAGACCCCTCGCGCTGGAACGACAGCCACCAGCATGGGCCCGATCCCCTTCCAGAAGCCGAACAGCCCTTCGCTCTGGAGGGTGCGCGACGCAATTGTAGTGATTCCGTATTGGTGATACCCTTTCGACTGCAGCTGAGTCTTCATGACTTCCATCGGGCATGTCAGCACAGCCCCGGTCATTCCACCTACACCTCCTGCTATCAAATATTTCCAATTCTTCTTGTTCGTGTCATCGAGCTGCTTGGGACGGCGCGTGACGCGGACCGAGTCTTCAAGGTTGGTGGAGTTGGCTTCAGGATGTCTGTGGGCAAAGGAAGTGATGTTGTTCGATTGTACGGCTGGAGAAGCACTCATGTTTGCATCCAATCCTGCAAGCACATGATTACTTGACGATGACACAATCCTCGATCACGCTTCGCTACCGACTTTGAGATTCCTCTGCGTTTCAACATCGCCTATCATATGAACAAACACACACGCGGGATACTCTGACTCGTTCAACATCCTGATCAGCATTCCTTTCACAACAACATGGCCTCTTGCCAAAACTCGCGACTCGTGCAGCACGTCCATCAACACATCACACCAACTGTGGGCGAGCGAGGTCCGGTTCGGAATGGTGCATGGCAACTCAGACGGGAGATCGCCCCCCTTATCAACACAACTCATGTCATGTCCTATCTCTTCCTCTCCCCTCTTATGATTCTCTGCATGCCGGTTCTCATGCCGCTCTTCGCCTCTCCTCCCACGGCCTACTGCCCCCATTGCAGCAACGCCATCTCCTTGCATGCGCCCTCTCCACAGTACCCCGACACCCCAAACTTTGTACCCCTACCCCCTTCCCATCGAATGACGAGAATGAAACGTACCCGGTATTTTCATACCTTACTGAACCCCTACCCCTATGAATCATGCCAGACCCCACCATCAACCTATAAGGCAAGGATGGTCAGCAGGTGGGGTACCCCCGATCCTATCACCCTACCTAGCTCCACCCATTTCCACCCCCAACACTGACTACCACTACCCCTCAATTAAACATGAAAAGTACCCCTCCGTTGATAAAATCATTGACCCTACCCCTGGTACACCATCACACCTACAGATTTCACCCCGAACGTGTCGAGACCCTCGGCATTTCTTGGGAGTTGCCACCGGAAGTCAAGTTGAATTATTTTTTTAAATATAATCAGCTAATTCTAAAATTGAAAATAATATTTGGGGAATTATCCGAACCTTTATGTAGTGACTACCAGATTTTTAACTTAAGTTTGAGTAAAGATGCTTGCGGCCAGCCTGGCCGCTCGGGTTACGGCCCGGGCTCAGCTGCTAGTGAAGTACCCGGACCCGCCGCCCCGGGCCAGGCCGGGCCGGCCGGCCACCCGGTCGTCGTAAACTTTACTCAAAGTTAATGTGTCACACTAACGGGTGGTTTGACGGAATACAAGTTTGTTAGACTTGTACTAGTCCAAAGTCACGCCGCAGACGTCACATCGACCTTAGTTGTAACAAGACAGTTTTTGCTCAAGACCGAGTTTAATGCACACAAAAACCAGCATTGAGGAGCACATGAGAGATAGACTGTATGCTAGGATGTGAAACCCAAGCATCCAGACATGAGAGGACCTTAGCAAGACGGCTAGGAAAGTCCCCTCTTCATCCCACGTACTACATGCCGCCTCGCCACGTAAGTCGTCTTGGTTTACAGGAGAGTTTTTGTTAACTCGGCGCTATCTGACTGGCACGGCTGGCATACGTTCCATCCTCCCCCCGAGTTTCTGAAATAGTACGTTACATCGGACGTCAGAAAGTCACACAAACAAGAATGTCAGCAGATCCAAGTCAAGATACGATGATACAACGTCAAGTTCACAGTCATGCTGAGTGGGCAATAACCATTCAAGGATAGTCCATTCTGAAGAAGATTTTCATGCAGGGCTATTAGATGTGCAGTGCAGAGATAAGGGAGATGCCTGGCGAGCTGATGCAATGACGAGAGAAGGAGGATAAGATAAGAGAGTCTGAGGAGAGAACTTCGGAGTTCAGATAACAGAGAGAGAGAGAGAGAGAGAGAGCGTGCCCGCCGGCATTTGAAGACCAAAAGATAAATTTTGAACCGTAAAGAACTTGTGACCAGAGATTGCTGCCGCGAGATGGAACATCCGTTTCAAGGCATTCGAAGATTGTTGTGCAGTTGTACCTTGTTCGCCGATCCAGAAGTAGCTCCAGTTATGCATGCCACAGCCTAGCTCCATGACATGAAAACTTCCGCCAGATCTCCTGGTAGGAAAATCACCGGTACTACTACACATTTAGACTGGCGGGAGAGCGAGACCCCGGCTACCGGTGCCACTGACCGAGCAGTTTAGGGAATTAGCAGGGGTGGTTCACAGGATAGACTGTCTTGGTACTGATTTTAACTTAACTTTGAGTAAACGACTGAGCTAATAGACTGAAGGTACGAAATAAACTTCCAACAGGCCTAGCTGGCCCGAATGAGCGGTAGGAACATGACCCACCCCCGGGGTACCGTATCATGGACAGTGGGGGTGGGTAGAACCGCCGTTGGGGTCTTTTGGGAGGGGTCCGACCGATCAGCTTGGCAGCCATTGGTCGGAGGGTGGGTAGGGTACATGAGCTAGATGATTTGATATCCGAAGAACTGGACGTAGAAACAGGGAGGGGAGTTTGAAGGGAAGACAAGGGGGTGGTTGGTGCTAAAGACTCTTACTTGAGGGGGTAGGGGTACCGATTTGAAAATTGCTGGCGGGGTGAAAGTAGTACCGACTCTGTGGTGGTATGACCGGGTGAAGAGGGAGGTCGGTGAAAGGGAGGTAGGGTAGTCCAGAGAGGGGTGGTCAATGCGAAGCTAGCTAGGTAGGGTGGTTGCCAGGAACATTCAACGGAGGGTAGTTTGAATTCGCATAGGGACCCAGGGGTGAATTATAGATTGGTGGGGTGGGTAGGCACAGGTATTGGAAGTGTACTTATTTGAATAGGGTGGGTCAGGGAACAGAGGTGTAGCAGGAGGGGTGATGGTGGAGTGGAGGAGGAAGTCAGGGGTAGGGTCATCAAGCATGGCTTACGGAAGGTAGGGTAGATTTGAGCGGGTAGGGTAGTTAGGCGAGGTGCAGCACTGATCAGAATGCACAAGGAGACATTCGCAATGCGCGGGAAAGTGCGAGTTGGAAACGAGGAGATGAGGAGGACACACTTCGAGACTCAGCAAGCAACAACTTGAAAGATTGTCATAGCTGTATTCCTTCAGACAATCAGCAGAACATTGTATCTTGGTGTTTGAAATCAATTCATCTTCGAGTCATGACTTCTAAAGTCCCACAAGCGTTCATCGTTCATGAATCTTCCTCGTTCAAGGTTTGATCCACTTTTCTCTTCTCATCATCAATCATCTGACTCCTAAACAGGACTTGGAATTTCACATAACTCGATTCAAACAGCAAATCGATCCAATCTGGGAAGCTTCATTTGGAGAGTATGCTGGTGCCGATCTTTTGTTTTATTCGGTGGTTTTGTGATTGCTGTCTTTAGAACAAACCTCCATACAACTAGTCGAATTTTCTCTGAAGGATGCTTCCGTTGAATTGCACAGAAAACTCAGCATGGATGCCATCGTGTTTGTACTTGTTCCGTAAGAACTACTTTGCCCAGAAAGCTCCGATATGAACTGATGAGACCTTTAGATATACTGATGAGAAGTCGACTGAGCTCTCACACCCTCTCGAGAACATGAGGCTCCCTCTATTGCAAATGGAATACTTGACTGGTGATGAACTTTCATTCTGAAAGGTTGTTGCACTGAGTTTCAACATTCAATGCAGGAAAAAGCCCGTTTGTGTTCGTCTGTAATCATTCAGAAAGGTGGTTTCCATTGATCGACTGAAATGCAATTGTTTTGACTTTTTTAAAGTCAACACATGAACACCGTGTGTGCAATGGAAGTCAAGGACTCAGCCATGAAGGAGGGTTTCAGCAAAGACACGATAGAAAACTCACTGTTTTCGTTCAATGCAAGGCTCAGCAAATCGCAACAGAATGTGTTGTTTGATATTTTAGCCTCTACCGCAGCGATGTTTGCTCCAATTCCAGCGAAAGTTGAGACGTTAACGGTAAGGTTCTATTTTTCTCAATGCGTTATCTGAAAGGGGAGTCCGAAGATTGTCACGGAAGACAACAGTGGTATCGACATGCAAATCAGAAATTATGTTTCAGACGTCATCAATCAAAAGAGTGAGGTGTTGCATGTTTCGAAATTGAAATCCTGACAACAAATTTCAAAGATTTTCCAGCAAAGCAACTCAAATTTCTCAACCTCATATCAAGAGACGATGCATTCTCAGTGAACCCCAAATCCTTTCACATCCTTGCTGTTGATGGTCTGTTTTACAATCTGTTGGGCAATTCATTTTAACGATGATGCGCCTGCAGGATCGGAGAATCAATTGTATAACAACGAAGTAGATCAGGATTTTCGGATGGTTCTTCACAGAATTTTCATGCGTACTGGAAGAATTCCCTTGATTGCGATCTACAATGATCCCATGGCGATTCAAGGACGTATACTCTCAGCAGAATATACGGTAAGAGAACTCCATGCATGCTTTGCGAGAATGATGTTGTTGGAAAAGCAACTGTCAGAATATGGATTCATGATGCCATATGTTTCAAACTGTTTCAGTTATAACCACACTCCGAACGAAGAGCAGGTAAAAGAAATGATTAGATCTTGTGGCGAAGTCGTTTGACTCAATGCGCTCAACAGTTTGACTGGCTGTCAATCAAGCTGGCATATGCCTTGAATCCAAACAGCACCAACGAGGCAGCATTGCTGTCCTTCATAACAGGCAATCCCAATTTAGCTTCCATAAAAACCATCTTAGATTATATCGAACAGATGCAAAGAAACAGAAAGAAACAGAAGCTACATCTGATGTGTGTATTGGTCATCATCATCGTCCGAAGACTGATGCATTTCTTAGGCTGCTGAAGTTCACGATGCACCTATTGAGCACAAATACTTACAAGGTAATCTCTTCCCTCACAATCGTTGAATGACCGCCCTTCTACGTTCATCAGAGTCCAAGGAATTGAAGAATGACGACAGCAATTCTTTCGAATCCCCAAGTAACTGGGAAATTCCAGTGAACGGCTCTGACAAAGCATCAGCGGTTCAATTTCTTGCTGATGTGAAATTGCTCTCTTGACACTTGCAGCAGAATCGGCATGATAATGTGGAACTTTCTGACCTTAACGGCGCTGAAAAGAATCTGTTCACACGACCGATTGAAGTACCAGATACCAACAAGAACTCTTATCAGAACGCCTGGACCTACCTGGAGAGGTTGAAGGGGGAACATGAAGCAGCGATTCAATCTGAAGCAATGAAATCTACATTCTCAGGCGAAGACTTGATTGAGAAAGCAAAGCGATTAAACGAGCGGGCTGAGCAAGAAAAGAACGAGCTCATTCGCAGACTGAAAATGCGCGACGAAGAGAAGTCAGAGACTGAAGAAAATCAAACGTTGGTAGCAAGTAAAGTAGACGAGAGCCAAACATTGATAGCACATGAAATTCCGAGGTCAGGAAAAGAATCTGCGGTCCTCACAGGAACAGATTCATTGGGAGGCTCAGACGTTGGTTACCATCATGAATCAAAGAAGACAGTTGAAAATTCTCCAGAGATAGCAAGCGACTACAGTCTTATTGAAGAAAATCTTTCCCATGCCAACAGGTTTGTTCTCCTTTACTTCAGTATTTAGTGTGGTTATGATTTGATAGCAGGAATCACATCGCTCCTTCTGCTGAAACAAGGAACGACATTGTTGACAAAGTGGAGGCAAATACGCATGCAGCTCCTGAAGAGATTCCTGTACAGAAGGACAACCCTGCCTCAAAGGTACCTGAAATCATCGAAGAGATCAAGCCGGTCAAAGAAGAACTCCATCGCTTGAATTCCAACGGAACTTCACAAGATTCGAATGTTAGAATTCCTCGCGTTCTTCCCATCAGGCCGTCCACAGATTTTGCAGGTCATGACGTGCACAGGCAAGAGAAAAATGGACATGCAGATAATCTGGTTCAAGCAGAATTGGAAGGACATTCGAACCTTCGAGATCATCGAGCAAACGTGGAACATTGTGGGGTGGGTGTGATGCTGGGCCTGGAGAAGAAGACGGGCAAGATTCTTGTCTCCAATGTCGAGGCGGGAAGCAGCGCTGCCAAGTGTGGAATTCAAGTTGGAAGTGTGGTCATGACCATCGACGGAGCTCGCGTGCAAGGGATGAAAGTGACGGAAGTGAATGAGATGCTTCTCGGAGCAGCGCACACGGCAGTCGTTATCGGCTTGCAGGACAAGCGCTATGGGCCGGAGGTTCGAGACTTCGCAGTGATCCGGCAGGCTCCACGTCCTCACGTGCCGACTGAAAAGAAGGTGAGGAGCAGCACTGAAAACATCGCCTATCGCAGTCAGAGCAGCTCAGATCTGTCAACAACTTCCACAGAGGGTCGATCTTCACGGCAGGACCTGGACGGCGAGCCCTGGCCAGTGCAGCAGCAGAGCGATCGATCGTACAAGAGCGATAACCAGCTCAAGGATCGTCTGTTTAGTGACTACGAGAATGGAGGGTTGCAACCTCAAGGAGTGAGTCGAAGGGGAGGGAGCGAGATTCGGGTTCTGTCCCCCGACCAGATCTCGCGCGTTGCGATACCCTCCCCGACGTCGATGTCGGATAAAAAGCAGAACCAAGATTTCGATGCGTGGCTGCATCATCTGGAGCAGCATATGGTTCGTGGAAAGAGTCGAAATCTCAACCAGTCGTTCTCATAAACGTGTGTGCATGAAGCAGCAGTCGCCATGGTCTCCCATCTGTCTCTATGTACAAGGATCGCCGCTACCCCTTCCCTCCCTTCATCCCCTCAGCAGCCTCGAGAGCCGGACAATGAGCCTGGCAGAAAGCCTGTAGGAGTAGGAGGAGACTAGAAACCCGGTTACAACGGTCGCTCCGAGTGCGAACCCCCGGAAGATCCTCGTGGCTGGGTGCGGCCTGCTGGACACCTGCTCGGGTTCAGTTGGAGCAGGAGATAAGGTAGCGATGCGTCACCGGCAGGCAGCAAATCTTGCGCAAGTCTATCGGCTCCTCCCAGAACTTCTTGATGCCTGCGATGTGACCTGCTCCCACCACAGCGACGATCCTGTCGCGATGGTCATCGTCCTCCTCTACTAGCACCACTGCTATCACTTCCTCCCTCCTGCTACTCCTCCACCATTATCACCACCTGACATCCTCTTCCACCACCACCACCACCACCAGCTCCTCTACCTCCTCCTCCTCCCCTTTGCCCTCCCCTTCGCGTCCTCCTTATAACACATCAACTCCACGGCTTCCTAGACTAGCGCCACTATCGCGACAGCCACCTCCTCCGCCAAGAGACCCACCTGACTCCTTCCGACACCGACTGGGCCTTCTTCCTCAGCATGTAGCAGAGGTACTGGTCCCTCTCGGTCATCAGGGGCTCAATCAGCCCCGGAAACTTCGATCCCAGCTCCATCACGGCCTGGGGAACAAGAGGGGAGAGGACGTGAGGGGCTCAGGAAGGATGAGGAGTGCAAGGGGACCATCGTCATAGCGTCTGTCTGCTTCAAGCTCTCCACCATCTCGTTGAGCTCGTCGGCTGGCAACTTCCCGTCAGGCTCATCGCACAAGGGCAGGGGAGCTGAACCTGACGGGATCAGGAGCGTCTCCCTCACCAGCATCCAACACAACTTGAGCTTTTCCCACGTTGTGATGCCCGCCCACATACGAGCAACCTGCAGTTAGCACGTCACTGCACATGGAAGGAGGGGGAGGGAGGAGGCGGTACGGTGATGTGAACTGGCCGGTCGATGAGAAGGAAAGAGGATGGTGGGGAGAGCTTCTTCGATTCCTCGTACGCCACTCTGAACTCTTCCCCTGGAGCGACTTCGAGGCGCGTGCTGACGTTGCTGAGGAACCAAGAGTAGAGGAGGGAGAAAAGGTTGGAGTCCTTGTCCTTCATCTTGCTCATGATGGCTGGAGTGCCAGCGGCAACGTCAGCGAGGGAGGCAGCAGAGGAGGAAGCACCGGCAAACGTGAGCGACTCGGGGGGAATGTGGAACAGCATCGCTCTGCGAGCCTCGCAGAGCTCGACGGCAACGATCTGCGCGCAGGAGTCAGTAGCGGACAGGCGAACTCGGACTCTTCCTGGGGGCGGATGGATTGAAGGGCCTTCCGGACATCCTCGCAGCTCTTGGAGGAGACATGTGCCGTCCCCACCAGATAGACAGTGCCTCCTCCTGGGGTTGTAAGAACGTTGTGTAGGTCAACTCCTGTCTCCTCCTCCTCAGCCTCCTCCTCGTCGTGGTTGCAGTGGAGGACGTCTGAGTCTTGCTCGCTGCACAGCCCCAGGGAGACCAGCAGGCTGGAAGAGCACAGGTAGACGTAGTACTGTCGCTTGCAGTAGCTGAGCTTGGAGATGATGTAGAGGTTGTCTCGCTTCATCCCGAGCTGCACTTTCTCCTCCCCCTGTCCCTTGACTGCCCACGTGCACTTGGAGAACCGGATCTGGATGTCGCTCCCTGCCTCGGCCTTCACCCTTGCGCAGCCGTCCTCCGTGAAGCTGAGGGAGCAGCAGCAGGACTCGGGAGCGACTACGATGTCATGGTGCTCGTCCAAGAGGTGGGTCGGAGCCGACAAGTCCAGCCCTATGATGGAGACGTCGTCGTGCTGGATGATGGTGGGGATGAAGCCCAGGACGGAGTGGGAGCAAACAACGTTTCTGAACTGGAGGATGTCGAAGAAGTCGATGGGGATGATATCCTTGAAGCAGAACCTCACCGCGTGGCGGAGGTACTCCAGGTCGTCCTCGACGTCCCCAGATGCCCTTGCTGTCGCCAATAGGTTGTCGACGGCGTCTGAGAAATGACAGTTCAAGAAATCTACAAAGCAGCCCTTCGTGTTCTCCGTCTGCATGTAATTCGAGAAGAGCGCGCAGACAGACAGGTTCCAGCAGCCATGAATGAAGATCGTCCTCCCGAAGTAATGGGCGAATCGACAGGACCTCAAGTATTCTTCGATCACTTGCGCGTAGCCTGTCAACTTCTCCAGCCCGTTCATGAGAGAGTCTTCACAGCATCCCTTACCCTCCTCTCCCCTGGGTTCCGAACTCTCACCCAAATGCTGTTCACACGCCGCCTTGAATATCTTCGAACCCCCCTTCTTCACCTCCTCCTCAACCCCCTGTCGATCCAGATTCTGCTGGTTTCCTTGCACGTACCGGCCGAGCCTGTCGAAGTCCACCCAGGCCTCCAGCAGGTCGATCTCTCTGCTCCCAATGAGGAGGTGAACTTTCTCAGGGTATTTGTACTTGATGCCAATCATCCTCCTCAGAAACAACAGGTCCAGTGGCCCTTCAATCCTCCCCGTCCCTCCAAACACGATCTGAGCACCCTCGGCAAGCTCCATCTCTTCACACCCACTGTCGTTGCAGCACAGGCACTCCGACTCTTGAGCGAACCGGCGAAGGCTCTCCAGGTTGGGCTGCATACCGGCTGTAAAATAACATTTACCTGCCAACCAGGTCACATGCCATGGCCGCGCATATCACAACGTGCTCGTGTATGTCACCTTCAGCACCACTGGAGGACCTCCGTACCATCATCTTCTGGTGAAGCCCTCGACCCCCTACGAGAAGGCTCAGCTGCAAGTTAAGATGAAACAGGTCGCTCTAGGCCACATGTCTATCCAAAACTGCTCGTTTGCCCTATCAGCTCCTCATCTTCGCCCTGCTCGACCTGTTCTGAATTCACAGCTCTAGGTACCATGCGCCACTGTTTTTCTATCTTCTTCTTCTCCTGATGACCTTCCTTCGTCATCTAGGCAAGCAGCACGAGAACTTGTTCAGAAGAACAAGGGGGTCGACAATGGCAGCGGCGGGTGAGCGCGATGGACGCAAGGAAGACAAGAGGAAGCAGGAAGAGGCATAATGCAGCAATCATGATGAGCAAGGGAGGGAGAGGGGAGGGAGAGGCGGAGGCGGAGGCGGGGGAGGCGACATCGATCCACGGTGCTTTCGAACTGCATTGCGAGAACTAAACTAAATTGAGCCTGAACTAAACTCCCTTGTGTATGAGGGCGATGCCGTGATAACGAGGGGGATGAGCAAGGGCACACGTGTAGGAGCGGGGATCAGGATGGGGATGAGGGTCTCATGTGGGGGATGAGGGGGATGAGGGGGATGAAGGGGATGAGGGGGATGAGGGGGATGAGGGGGATGAGGGGGGATGAGGGGGATGAGGGGGATGAGGGGGATGAGTGTTGGGAGATGCTTCTGGATGCTGGTTCGATGGGCAGGGCCTGCTGCTCTCGCTGTCCTCCTCCTCCTCCTCCTCCTGGTTCCGCTTCTCCTACCAGTGCAGGGATCTAGATCGGGTAGGAAGGCCTCCCCTAGCCCCACACGTCCCGCTCCTCACAAGGAACAGGAATCCTCCTCCGCAACAACTACTCTGCCTCCTCTTCCATCCCAGCTCCCCCCACCTCCCCGACGCAAACCTTCCCCATTTACCGTCATGAACACATCAGCCTACCCTCTTCCACCAGCGGGGAAACAGATTCATGGCAAGACTCAACGTGGCGAATCCTTGGATTTTCTCTTGTACATGCCCCTTCAACACGATTCAAGCTCGCCGCTGCCTCTACTTGTTTTCTTGCATGGAGCCGGTGAGAGCGGGCATGATGCTTCTAAACTTCTCTTGCAAGGACCGCCGAAATTGGTGCAGGATGCAAAGAATGTCAACTTCTCAATCTTGAATGAGGATGCGGCTCGGGATTCTGCAGCTTTTCTCAGGAGCAACTTTATGGTGCTCTCGCCGCAATGCAGTCAAAGCTGGGGTGGAGGATTCAGCAATCCTTCGATATCGAACTCAATTCTTGATCTCATCGATGATGTAATAGAATCAAACAAGGGAAAGATTGATCCCACCAGGATCTATCTAACTGGGCTGAGCATGGGAGGGTCGGGCACATGGGCATTAGCAGCCGCAAGTGCAAAGCGCAAGTCACCCAAGTTTGCAGCTATTGCACCGGTAAGAAAAGTATTTGGAGGGACGAGGATGCGTGATGAGTGCGGGTGGTTGTAGGTTTGTGGCTGGGTTGATGGTGGAAAACGCAAGTTGGATGAGGTTGCCGGAGCGATCAAGGTCATGCACAATCATCACTGCCGTCCAGCTGACTGAAGTTACAGGACGAGAGGATGGGTGTCTGGATCTGGCATGCCGTCAACGATGAGACCATTCCGGTTGAAGCCAGTGATGATATGAATCGTACCTTAGCAGAGCATGCTGTTCAGGTGAGCCCTTGAGGGATGTTCATTCATGCCACATCGTTATGCTTTGCTCAGGTGAAGTACTCTCGCCTTCCCCACTCTGCTGGTAGCGACCCGAACTGGATCAACTTTGGCATGGGCGGGTTGCACATGGAAGGACACGCTAGTTGGGTTGATGCGTATGAAAAGAGCGGGGAGGAGCTGTGGAAGTGGTTTCTCGGGCACAAAAGATCGTCGAATAATGCTTGATGAAGCATTGATTGATTTTCTTGAAATCATGCGAGTCATGTCAAACTCAACACTTTTTCATCTGTATGTGTATTTATTGATAATTTGATCGTTATTCAAAAACATCTAATTGGATTGACGCAAACAGCGCTTCTTCATTCTGCCATGGCAGTGCCGCGGAGTAAAGAGAATTGACCAATTCGTTGCCATCCTCTCCTGCCGCCACCAAACGCTCATAAGTTGTATCGTGTGCGAGCAGGGGCTGGGTCCATGGAAGTCGCTGAATACAGTCAAGGATAGCCGCGATCTTCTTCGCCTTCTCGTTTTTGATTGGATCATGACGAGTGAAGTGAACCATGAAAGAAGCCATTTCAAACGTGGTCACTTGCTGGAAATCCCCTGTGGCTGAGCTTCCTTCCTTGAAATAGCAGGCGTTATCAACGAAGCTTGGGAATGCCACGAGCAAAGCAGCAAAGCACTGGATTGAGCCGCATACGATCGCGTAGTGAAGGGCAGATGCTTGCACCAGGTCGATTCGGAACATTTTAGCCCCGGAATTGTCTTCAGAGAAGTACAGAGAAACCTCTGCTGAGTTCTTGGGCAACCACCCTACCATCATCATGCGCCGCAGAAAGTTGAAGTTGTCGGCGTCAATAGCGTGAACAAGGGCAACTTGTACATCTTCATCAGAAAGAGGAACAGCCGGAATGCCCTTTGCAACAGGAATGCCGACTGCAACCAGGGAATCGTTTTCAAGGGAGTTTGAGTCCTGTTGGGCCGGAACATGGTGATATCTTTCGTATTGCATGTGCTGATCGTAAGGATGGCAAGACTCCGCATTGCAAGCATTCCCGTAATTGGTCTGCTGTGCCCTGGGATTGGATTTCTTCTTGCTCATTCTGATGGCTGGGGCTTTTGATATGCCCTTGGACTTGGTCTCAAGCTCGGTTTCACGAGGAACGAAGAGGGAGGCAACCATTGTTGTGAGGTGGTGGGTAGGAGCTGATGAAGGAGAGACGGTATTGAATGAATGTGCTGCAGTAGAGAGAAGGGAGGTTGAAGCAAGAGGATGCTCGAGGAATGCAGAAGAACGGTGAGATGGTGTTGGCACAGTGCGCTGGTGAGGAGGACGAGGAGCACTGGGGTCTAAATAGGAGTGAGCGATATAATACTAATAAGAATTAAAAAGAAGTAGTGCTGTACAACTTACTTTTACCTCGCATCAATAAACTTTTAGAGTTTTTTTTTCGAGCTGGATATTGCGAGAGAAAGGTGTTTCTGGGAGTAAGGGTAGCATGTTCGATGAAGGGGTACTGAAAATATGTTTGAACTTATCACCCTCTTTTTTTACCGAAAGTTGTGGGGTGATGCAAGGGGTCAGGAAGTGGAGAAGCGGTGGGTACAATCCTGGTAGGGTACTGTGAATGAGAGTCGAACGTGCGACCCCCGTTAAATCGAGTTTTAAAAAAAGAACGTAAAAGTCAAATGTAAAAATAAAAGGGATATGCAGACAGTTCCCAAGCGACGTGGTTGTCTGCGTCCGTGCTCTGAAGGGGTCAGTGGTCGCAGTGTACGGGTATGTGGTGAAGCGTTCTCTTTTAAGGACGCGAAGCTCGTAGAAAACCGTTGGAGCCGTTAAATGGTGGTGTCTGGGAATCCAAAGCAATCACTGAACGAATCGTTGCCTTTGACAAGACGCTATGTACCGGCAAGGTTGAGTGATATCATGCAACGTTTCGACCAACTTCTTCGCTGTCTCTTTACCACAGTATGAACGGATAGAAGTCAATTGCTGAGGGTGGATCCCGTGAGCTGGTTTGAGAGCCACCCGGAGGAAGTCTCCGAACTCATACACGAAAAATACCTATTTCGACTTACGATATCCCGAACCTTCGCACCCACCAGTGAGCTGTTTTCAGTACTACCCTAACCCCCAGAACCAATATCGGAACTCAATCAATGGACGGGGTTACTTATCACCCCACCCCATTCCTCTCGAGGAGCACACTTCCAATCCCTTGAGAGCCCATCCCAGATATGTGTAAAAACTTGATTTTTAGTTTCGTAAAAGGTTTTCGTAGCAGGCATTTCATGCAGCACCATGCCTTCATAACTAGATATCATCTTCCTGAACAAAGTTTCAATTTATTCTGTCTAATTTCAAATGCAAAGAGGACGCTGCGTTTAGGCGATGATCGTTCATGACGTTCTCATTGAAAGGGATCGTTTTCAGGATGTACCCCTTGGGTTGCAGGGATTGAACTATATGAAAAGACATCTTTTGAGATATTAAGGCTCCCCTTGGCGACACGGAGAGTAACCAAATTAAAAGCGATTCAACCTTGCAATGTTTGGACTAGCTCCGTCGCGGAGCGTCGTGGTCTTCATATCTGTTTATTAGTATTTTAGAGATCTTGACCCGCCAGAGTTGGGAGACCGCAACCCCATTACGACGGTCATGTGGTGGGGTGGGTGGTCAGGTGGATACGCCAGGCACTGCTCCGATGGGGATCGAAGGAAAAAAAGAAAGTAGTGGTGCAAAGGGTGGATTGGTACGGATGGGGATGAGGGCTAGAGGGCACTGATTTGCCCTCATCCCCATCAACCTCCCACTGTGGGTATGGTGGGGATGAGGGTAACATGGAGGGCACTTCAACCCTGACCCTCATACCACGCAACCGCGTTGGGTATGGTGGGGATGAGGGTAAAAAGGAGGTGGTGGAAAAGCAGAAGGAAATAATGATGATGATGAATCGGCTGACAGTAGGGGAGGGGCAAGAGGCGAAGGAGGGAGGATCAACCCATCAGCTTGCCTCTTGTATCTCTTGGCTAGGAAGTAGAAGTCTTCTGAGAGAGCGACAGAACGACAGACAGACACAGACAGACAGAGACAGAGAGAGACAGAGACAGAGACAGGAGACACGTCGACAGATTATGACAGACATAGAGAAAGAGAGCGAGAGAGAACGAGAGAGAACGAGAGAGAACGAGAGAGAACCAGGAATCCTAGTGAGGTTGAGGTGGATCAAGGAGATTGGTTGGTATCACGTAGGGCGGGCAACTTCAAGCAGACTGAAACAACAAACAAACTTGAGGAACAGTTGGTAACGGTCAAATTTGCGATTACCACGTTCACCTGCTTTCTTTCCTTGACAGAGAACGCAGTTGTGGGATCTTTCGGCCCTCATGATAGGAAGCAATCTCTTTAGATTGTCTGCCTGTTTGTCACTCGTTTGCCCTTTTCGCCCTGCTTGGGGATTTTTGCATTTTGCGGGTAGCGGGATTCCCCGGGTCGGTCTAAGACATCAGAGTAGATTGTTTGTGCAGTTTGATTCTCATAGGAGAAGTCTCAGTTACACAAGTAAAGAGTTTTGATCCCCGTTTACAATCGTTGATCTGTTTTCAGGTCACCGGCACTGGGGAAGGAGTTACCAGACGCACCAAAGGCCTTCGATGATGGCAGACTGCCCTCCAATTGTGGATTGTGATTGGCTACACAAGAATCTTGAGAAAGTCTCAATCTTGGACGCTTCCTGGTGAGTAGCTGGACAATGTGTCCCGCAGCTCAAGCCTGATTCAGGTTTCTTCCAGGTACCTGCCTGCAATGCAGCGTGATGCCATCAAGGAATTTTCGGAGAGGAGAATTCCGGGAGCGTTCTTCTTCGACATCGACAAGGTCAGTGATACTGATTCACCTTGGCCGCACATGATGCCGTCAGCTCCAACATTCGCAAAGGTATCGTCCCTTACTGCCTCCACGAGCGCATTGACTCTTAGTGCCTAAAGTACTGTGCCGGGTACGGTATCAGTCGTGACAGCCATGTCGTTGTGTATGATGGAAAGGGGGTTTTCAGCTCTCCCGTGCATGGTACATGTTCAAGGCCATGGGACATGCCAAGGTTTCCATCCTCAATGGAGGTTTTCCCATGTGGGAGTCGCTGGCACACCCTGTCGACCGCGAAAGGAAGCCTGTTGATGCTACCAGCTCGAGTCCAGCAGAATACACATGCGAGGTTCTCAAAGGTTCAATCTTGGACATGGCGCAAGTGGAAGCAAACATCGGTTCGAAGCAGTTCCAGCTCATTGATGGTCGGCCCAAGCCCAGATTTGTTGGTGAAGCGCCAGAACCGAGACCGATCGAGTCGGGCCACATCGAAGGCAGCTACTCCGTGCCTTTCCTCGACGTCCTCAGACCCGACGGTACTTTCAAGGATGAAAGCGAGCTCAAGCAAGTGTTTCATGAAGCTAAGGTCGACTTGAGCCAGCCATGCGCCGTGACCTGCGGAAGTGGGGTTACTGCGTGCGTTGTCCGAGCAGCCCTTGAGATAGTAGGTGTCCGCGAAGCTCCGCTGTATGATGGAGCATACACCGAATGGAAAACTACCGGCAAGCCGACATACAAGGGACTTGACAAGTCTCCTTATGCTCAGTGAGTCTTGCCTTGTGTGGCCTCTCGCCACCGCACTGACTCTCAAAGGTTCAACGTTTCTTCGTCTAGAGGTACTGCCAGGCTTTAAAACAGTCATGATGAGAGTCATTGAAACGGTACATTGGGAGTCAGCTTCTGTCGGTTCAACGGTGCCACGTCCCAGTCCCCAGTGGACTGGTTCGGAACTCGCATCATCGGCGGGCCGAGTTTGCGGCACGAATCCGACGTGCTGAGTGAGGAGGCTTACCGTACTCACTCGTACCGTACGGTACGGCCGCCGGCCAGTCACCGGGCCGCGCCGGGACAGCCTCACCGATACCACTTGTCTTTTCTCACTAGTTGTGAATGCATATTGAAGTGGTATGTGTCTCTTTCAAAAGTAGGAGGCTGTAGCTCTCCAATTAATTGCGGAACGTTCGTTCCCAGATCTGTATGAGGGTCCTCCAACTAAACCCCTGGTTTTGACCGGAATTTCAAGATATCTTCATGGGTGGGGTACTTACCGACGTTTGGTCTTGTGATGTCTTGAGTCCCAAAAACAGGGGGATGGGGGTAGTCGAAAATTGTTGGGGGTGGGGTACGGGATATTCGAGGGTAGGGGTAGATAAGCGGAATTAAATGAGTTGGACAGGGTGGGGTGGGGTGCAGACAGAAGATGAAACTCTTGGTTTTGTACCCCTCCATAAAACAACAAAAATTGGGGTAGTCCTAAAGCGCACGAAGAGGGTAATGGAGGGGTGGGGTGTACCTTACAGCCCAGGGTGGTCAAAGAAGGGGGTGGGGTGAAATGACTTTCAGAGGGGTTATTGATTGGGGTGGACTTCATGTTGCGTGCGACGGCAGAACATGGAGTGAGGCAGGAGGAGGGGAGAAGGAGGAGGTTTCTGAAGAATATGGTGACGATATGCTGGACTGTTGAAGGAGGAAGCCAGTCGTGAGGCGGTTCGAGCAGAGAAGTTGAGGGAGGGGAGGAAGAGAACTTTTATAGATGGTAATTTCAGGGTTAACAGTTGTTGAGATATCACGAACGAGGGCATGGGATGGAAGGAACAAGAGAGAAAAAGAAAGGATTTAACCTTACGGTGCATGTGTAAGGATCCTTCCAAGCACTCTGATTTAAAGCTCAGGTTGGGTAATGATTACTACCAGCTGACGGAACGCATCCTTGTTGTGAAATGAAATCAGAATCGGATATTGTAAGATAGAAGAACAGCGCAAGATAGTGGTAATCGCTCGTAGTATGCTGATCTCAAGAAAGATCAGCTCGATCGTCATTTTGCACAGTGTGACATGGAAAGCGAAAATTGGGTATAGTGACTCGGTGTTTTGCTTGGGCCGCAAGATTTACGGACGAGCTTGATATTTTAGACGTCTCACAGGACGTAAGAGCAATCAACCGTAGAATGAGCTCTTACATGATAGTGAATATGAAGTTGAGAAGTAAGTGCGTGGTTGATAGGATAGTTTACAAGGGAGAGAGACGCGTAATCGAGGGCAGAGGGCATCAACAAGACGCTCAACGTCGCAGTATCTGATCTGTGGTAAGAGCTGATGTTTTTCCATCAGGAGTTGGTCTTCTGACAGGCCATCCTTCGTGCCGGAGCCGATGTGGGGCCTCGGGCAGTCTGGGCACGAGGAGAAGATCAGTCAGCTCGAGCGAAGGAACCGAGATTTGGAGGAGAGACTACGAGAGCTGGAGTCCCCTAACCGCAGAGACGCATGCACACGGGAAGTGCTGGAACGCCTTGGCCTGATTCATTTCTCGATCGATCTGCATGATCGCCTTAGGGACTGGAATGCGATATCGCAGAGGCAGATGGGCTGGAAGAAGGGGGATGTAGTGGGGAAGAGCATATACGAGTTCTTGGTGGCGGATGTTTTGAAGTCCAAGGTCATACCACGATCTTCCTTGTGTGCTTCGTCCTGATTTCATTGCGCAGATACAGCAAGGCATTGAGCATGCCAAATCTAAGAGAGAATCAGTTTCTCTCGAATTCTCTGCATCAAAGCCGGATGGGTCTGTGATTTTTTTGTCGCTCCGTGGAATTCCCATAGTACAGGATGATGCGAAGAGTTGTGAAGAAGTTTTGTTCGTTGGTCAAGATATCACTGATAGAAAGCAATACGAGCAGGAGATGGTCAGGAAGGCGCAGGAGCTCAGATCCTTTATAGATACTGTGAATGCCCCTATCTTTGGGACAGACGTCAGCTACAACATTAATGAGTGGAATGATCAGGCAGAGGAAGTTTCAGGATTCAAAAGAAATCAAGTCCTTGGGAAGAACTTCATCGAATTCTTCATAGCACATGAAAACCAAGTTTCTGTACGGGATTTGTTGAATGACGCCTTGAATGGCAACAATCGTACCAACTTCGAATTGCCGCTCCTTGATGCGAAGAAGCAGAGATTGTTAGTGTTGCTCAACGTGACTGCTCGCAAGAATATTGATGGGGAAGTCATAGGCATTATGGGAGTGGGTCAAGACATCACTGACCGAAAGCGATTTCAAGATGAGAGGGCAAGGGTGGCTCAAGAGCTGCAGAACTTCATTGACACAGCGAATGCACCCATCTTCGGGATCGATCACATGGGTTTGGTCAACGAGTGGAATCTGAAAGCAGCAGAGATAACCCAGTTTTCACGGGAAGAAGTCATTGGCAAGAACCTTGTTGAAATTTACATCACAGACGAGTTCAGGTCCTCCGTCAAGCTGGTGCTAGACAATGCCCTCAAGGGATTTGAGGCAGCCAACTTTGAATTCGCGTTGTACACCAAGGATCATCGTAGAGTTGATGTGCTGCTTAACGCGACCCCGCGACGCGATGTTGAAGGAAATGTGATCGGCGTCATTGGCGTTGGGCAAGACATCACGGAGAGGAAGATGGCAGAAATGGAAAAAGCCAGAGTGGCGCAGGAGCTTCAGACGTTTATTGACACGGCCAATGCTCCGATCTTTGGAATAGATGATCAAGGGCTTGTCAATGAGTGGAATATGAAGGCTGCCGAACTGACAGGTTTCTCAAAACAAGAAGTGCTTGGCCAGAATCTTGTTGAAGTGTACATCGGCGAAAAGTTTCGGAACACTGTGAATGGTGTCCTACAGAACGCCTTGTGTGGAATGGAGACATCAAACATTGAGTTCCCATTGTATACAAAGGAAGAAAAGCGAAGAGTTGAAGTACTTGTGAATGCTACAGCACGCAGGGACATCAACGGGAATATCATCGGAGTCATCGCTGTTGGACAAGACATCACAGAGAGGAAGCGTGTTGAAGGAGAGAAGACGCGAGTCGCGAAGGAGCTGCAGACTTTCATCGACACGGCCAACGCCCCCATCTTCGGTATCGACGCCAAGGGCCTCGTCAACGAGTGGAACAACAAGGCGGCAGAGATCACTGGCTTCTCCCGGGAGGAAGTGCTGGGTCAAGACCTTGTGGAGGTGTACATCAGCGAGGAGTTCCGCCAGTCCGTTCGCGAAGTACTGGACAATGCTCTTCAACAGAAGGCAACGGCGAACTTCGAGTTTCCCCTCTACACGAAGGACGAGCGACGAGTGGACGTGTTGCTCAACGCCACCCCCCGACTGGATGCGAACGGGAACGTGGTGGGAGTGATCGGGGTAGGGCAGGACATCACGGCGAGGAAGCTTTTCGAGGAGGAGAAGACGCGAGTCGCGAAGGAGCTGCAGACTTTCATCGATACGGCCAACGCCCCCATCTTCGGTATCGACGCCAACGGGCTTGTGAACGAGTGGAACAACAAGGCGGCAGAGATCACGGGCTTCTCAAAAGATCAGGTGTTGAACCGCAATCTTGTAGAAGATTTCATCAGTCCAGACTACAGGGTGTCGGTGTCTCAGGTACTGACGAACGCGCTGAAGGGTCGGGGGACGGCGAACTTCGAGTTTCCGTTGTTTACAGTTGATAAGAGACGTGTCGAAGTGCTCCTGAATGCAACACCGAGGAAGGATATCTCTGGGAATGTTGTGGGAGTGATCGGGGTAGGGCAGGACATCACAGATAGGAAACAAGTTGAAGTAGAGAAGACCCGGGTAGCCGAGGAGCTACAGAATTTCATCGACACGGCTAACGCCCCCATCTTCGGTATCGATGCGAACGGGTTTGTGAACGAGTGGAACAACAAGGCGGCAGAGATCACGGGGTTTTCTAAGGAGGAGGTGCTCGGCAAGGATCTGGTAGAGGTGTACATTACCGACGAGTATCGTTCTTCGGTCAAGGAAGTACTCGATAACGCGCTCCAAGGTCACGAGACCGCCAACTTCGAGTTTCCCCTCTTCACAAAGAATCAAAGGCGTGTTGAAGTTCTGTTGAATGCAACGACAAGGAGAGACGAATCTGGGAAAGCCGTGGGAGTGATCGGGGTAGGGCAAGACATTACAGAGAGGAAGCAGGTTGAGTCCGAGAAATTCCGGGTAGCTCAAGAATTGCAAGCGTTCATCGATTCAGCGAATGCGCCAATCTTCGGTATCGATGCTAAAGGCAGAATCAACGAATGGAACAACAAGGCTGCTGAGATCACCAATTTCTCGAGCATGGAGGTGTTGGGAAGGGAGCTGGTGAAGGATTTCATCACTGAGGAATATCGCGAGACTGTGAAGGAGGTGCTCGACAACGCGCTGAGGGGAGTCGAGGCCTCCAACTTTGAGTTCCCTCTGTACACGAAAGATCAAAGGCGAGTCGAAGTTCTCTTGAATGCTACCACGAGGCGAGACGTGAGCGGCCGCGTTGTAGGGGTGCTTGGTGTTGGCCAGGACATCACGCAGAGAAAGCGAGTAGAGATTGAAATGACGCGTATTGCCCGTGAACTGCAGACTTTCATCGACACAGCCAACGCCCCCATCTTCGGTATCGATGACCAAGGACTGGTGAACGAGTGGAACAACAAGGCGGCAGAGATCACTGGATACTCGAAGGCTGAAGTGCTGGGCAAGAATCTGGTGGAGGTGTACATCACCGAAGAGTTCAGAGCCTCGGTGAAGGAAGTACTCGACAAGGCGTTGAAGGGCGCAGAGACAGCCAACTTCGAGTTTCCTCTCTTCACCAAGGACATGCGCAGAGTGGATGTTCTGTTGAACGCCACGACGCGACTTGGAGACGGGGGCCGAGTGGTGGGAGTGATCGGGGTAGGGCAGGACATCACAGAGAGGAAGCGTGCAGAGGAAGAAAAGACGCGAGTGGCCAAGGAGCTACAGAATTTCATCGACACGGCCAACGCCCCCATCTTCGGTATCGATGCAGAAGGTCTCGTAAACGAGTGGAACAACAAGGCGGCAGAGATCACGGGCTTCTCCAGCGAAGATGTGCTGGGGAGAAACTTGGTTCAGGATTTCATCACTGAAGAATACCGCGTTACAGTGAAGGAAGTGCTTGACAATGCTCTCCTTGGTATTGAGACTTCTGATTTTGAGTTCCCTTTATATACGGTGGACAAGAGGAGGGTGGAAGTGCTTCTCAATGCCACCTCTCGTCGCAACACAGCGGGAAAGATCGTTGGTGTGATCGGGGTAGGGCAGGACATCACCGAGAGGAAACGTGTTGAGGAGGAGAAGGCAAGAGTCGCGCAAGAGCTGCAGACTTTCATCGACACGGCCAACGCCCCCATCTTCGGTATCGACGCCAACGGGCTTGTGAACGAGTGGAACAACAAGGCGGCAGAGATCACGGGATTTTCTAGGGAGCAGGTGATCGGTCGCAGCCTTGTCAAAGATTTTATCACGGAGGAATACCGTGTATCGGTCCGAGATGTGCTGGACAAGGCGCTCAAGGGTGTTGGTACAGCGAACTTCGAGTTCCCCTTGTACACAGTCGATGGCCAGAGGGTTGAGGTGTTGCTGAATGCCACGACAAGAAGAGACGCTCACGGAAATGTGACCGGAGTCGTTGGCGTTGGACAAGACATCACGGATATCAAACGATCTCAGGAGGAGATGACTCGTGTTGCCAACGAACTTCAGACTTTCATCGACACGGCCAACGCCCCCATCTTCGGTATCGACGCCAAGGGCCTCGTCAACGAGTGGAACAACAAGGCCGCAGAGATCACTGGCTTCTCCCGGGAGGAGGTGCTGGGTCAAGACCTTGTGGAGGTGTACATCAGCGAGGAGTTCCGCCAGTCCGTTCGAAAGATTTGCGACTTGGCATTGCAGAAAGTGGCAACGGCGAACTTCGAGTTTCCCCTCTACACGAAGGACGAGCGACGAGTGGACGTGTTGCTCAACGCCACCCCTCGACTGGATGCGAACGGGAACGTGGTGGGAGTGATCGGGGTAGGGCAGGACATCACGGCGAGGAAGCTTTTCGAGGAGGAGAAGACGCGAGTCGCGAAGGAGCTGCAGACTTTCATCGACACGGCCAACGCCCCCATCTTCGGTATCGACGACAAGGGGCTTGTGAACGAGTGGAACAACAAGGCGGCAGAGATCACTGGCTTCTCCCGTGAGGAGGTGCTGGGTCAAGACCTTGTGGAGGTGTACATCAGTGCGGACTTCAGATCGACCGTATCCGAGGTTTTGGAGAACGCGCTGAAGGGTCGGGGGACGGCGAACTTCGAGTTTCCCCTCTATACCAAAGATGGACGGAGAGTTGAAGTGCTCCTGAACGCGACGCCAAGAAGAAACATGGCTCGACAGGTTGTGGGAGTGATCGGGGTAGGGCAGGACATCACCGAGAGAAAGGAAGTCGAGATCGAGAAGACTAGAGTCGCGCAAGAGCTGCAGACCTTCATTGACACGGCCAACGCCCCCATCTTTGGTATCGACGACAAGGGTTTGATCAACGAGTGGAACAACAAGGCGGCAGAGATCACTGGCTTCTCGAGACAGATGGTGTTCGGACAGAACCTGGTCGAGAAGTATATCACTGAGGAATATAGGGAGCAGGTCAAAATGGTTCTTGACAATGCGCTGGAGGGTGAGGAGACTGCCAATTTTGAGTTTCCTCTGTTCACGAATACAGGGAGGCGTGTAGATGTGTTGCTGAATGCCACTACCCGAAGGGATGTGACAGGGCGGCCAATCGGTGTGATCGGTGTTGGGCAGGACATCACTGAGAGGAAACAAGTAGAGGAAGAGAAGACTCGAGTGGCACAAGAGCTGCAGACTTTCATCGACACAGCCAACGCCCCCATCTTCGGTATCGACGCCAACGGGCTTGTGAACGAGTGGAACAACAAGGCGGCAGAGATCACTGGATACTCGAAGGCTGAAGTGCTGGGCAGGAATCTGGTGGAGGTGTACATTACTCAAGAGTTCCGGCCGTCGGTGAAGAAAGTACTAGACGATGCTCTGCTGGGGAAAGAGAAATCCAACTTCGAGTTTCCTCTCTTCACCAAGGATAAACGTCGAGTGGAAGTTCTGCTGAACGCCACCACTCGACGTGACGTCACAGGTGCCATAGTCGGAGTGATCGGGGTAGGGCAGGACATCACCGAGATGCGTCGACTGATGGAACAAGAGGCCCTCCTCTTCCAGGCTCAGGCTGCGAACGATGCTAAGTCGCAATTCTTGGCGACCATGTCGCACGAGATGAGAACGCCGCTGAATGTGATCATGGGGATGAACGACTTGATCCTCGAAACAAGCTTGCTGGATGAGCAGAGGAAGTTTGCGGAACAGATCAAATCGTCCTCCGAGTCCCTACTGGTCCTTATAAATGACATCCTTGATCTCACCAAGATTGAGGCTGGCAAGCTCGAGCTGGTCAGCGTTGACTTCGATCTCCGGCAGGTCATTGAGGACACGGTTGACTCCGTGGCTTCCAAGGCCCTCGGCAAGGGGCTGGAGATCTGCTGCTATATGAGCCCCAACACCCCGACGGTGGTGAACGGCGACCCTGACAGGCTGAGGCAGATCCTGCTGAACCTTCTGTCCAACGGGATCAAGTTCACCAATTCGGGTCAGGTGTACCTGCTGGCTGAGATGGAGGAGGAGACGCCGACCCACCAGGCCTTCCGTTTCAAAGTGTATGACTCGGGCATCGGCATCTCCGAGGAGGGCCAGAAGAAGCTGTTCAACCGATTCTCCCAGGTCGACTCCTCCACAACCCGCACGTACGGAGGGACGGGCCTCGGCCTTGCGATCTCGAAGCAGTTTGCCGAGCTGATGAACGGGTCCATGGGGGTCCAGAGCAACCTGGGCAAGGGGTCCTTGTTCTGGTTCAATGCGGTCTTCAAGAAGATCAACACTGCAGTGCAGCCCACCTTCTCTCTCCCTAGCGCTGTACACAGCAAGAGGATCATGCTGGTGGCAGACAACGAGACCCTTCGCAACGCCATCCTGCGATACCTGGAGACGTTCGGCATCGTCCCTCGATCGGTGGAGGGGATCCTAACTGCCGTGCCGTATCTGAAGGAGCGCTCGGTCGATATTCTCATCGTATGCCCGTCAGTCCAGCAGCAGAGGAGCGCCATAACCGACGAGAACAACCCGGACGAGGAGCCCATCACTGATGACCTCAGGTCCTGCATGAAGATCGTCGCTCAGTATGCACAGGAACCTGGTGACATGCAGAGCATCGTCTTCTGCCCTATCACGCAACTGAGCCAGGCTGCGGTGTACAGGAATGTTCCTGGCTGCATCATGCTCAGTCGCCCGGGTCGTCTCTCAGCACTGCACGCAGCGCTCAAGCAGTGCATCTCTCCTGAGGAGCACAATTCCCACTCTGCGATTGAGCGAGGTGGATCAGGGGAATCGGTAGAGGTGGAAGATGAGATCATGGGTGGAGGGATGGCGCGAATCCCAAGCATGAGGATCCTGATCGCCATGCAGCTGGAGCAGCAGCACGTGCTGCGAGCGATGCTCGTCCGCGAGTCTCACACTTGCGACCTGTGCAACAGCTTCAACGAGGTGATGGCGATGTTGCGTAACGGGGAAGACACCTTCTCGCACTTCTCTCACGATTGTGTGATCCTCGACTACGAGCTTCTGGGCTCCAAGACGAGCATTGTAGCCAAGGAGATCCAGGGATACATCAGACGGTCAACCTCCGGCAAGAGACCGATCCTGATCGGCATCGTCAACGGGTTCGATGGTCAGGAGTATCACGAGTGTACGCAGGCGGGGATGGACGGGCTGATCACGAGACCCTTCGACAGGATGAAGGTCAAGGAAGCCATCGCCAAGGCCGCCACCATCTCCGAGTCCAAGCGCGATCCCGTCCTTGGAGGCTCCCACGTGGTGTGCTCCACGAGCAGTTCCCGTGCAGCTTACGCGAGCGACCTGGACGGCAAGCAGAGGATCTTGGTGGTGGACGATGATGCAGGGCAACGTCGGGTGCTTCGGGCGATGCTGAGCAAGGACGGGTTCGAAGTGGACACGGCAGAGGATGGCTCTCAGGCAGTAAAGGCAGTGCAGAAGGTGAAGTACGATGCTGTGCTGATGGACGGCTTCATGCCGAACAAGACGGGATGGGAGGCAACTGCAGAGATCCGGTTGAGAGAAAAGGAGACCGGAAGTCGGCGGCCCATCACAATCATCGGAGTCACTGGTGCCTCTGGCGATGATGAGAAGAAATGCAAAGACGCGGGGATGACTGACACTATCCTCAAGCCCATCTCACGTGACAAGCTCACCGCTAAGATCCGTGAGTGGATCTCCAAGGCAGAGGCAGCTCGATGCGACTCGCCTGATCCCTGCAGTACTCCCCCTCCCCCCTCCAAGGAGCTCGCGAAGCCAGCAGCTGGCTCCAACCAACTGCGCATCTTGGTGGTCGATGATGACGCCGGGCATCGTATGATGCTTCGCGCGATGCTGACGCGAGACAAGCACCAGGTAGATACTGTAGACAACGGGGCAGAGGCAGTGAAGAAGGCAGCGAAGGTGAACTACGATGTCGTGATCCTCGATGGTTTCATGCCCAACATGTCGGGTTGGGACGCGTGCAAGGAGATCAGGGCGTGCGAAGCCGCGAGCTCGCACTCAGCTGTCATCCTGGGCATCATCGGCCCCAACCCCTCCGACGACGATCCCAAGTTCCGAGAGGCAGGAGTGACGGACCTGATTTGCAAGCCTCTGTCCAAGGACAAGTTGTCTGCCACGATCGCTGAGGCTCTCAGCCGGGGGAAGGGAACAGTGTGCGACTCGCCTCCTCCAGTGGAAAAGAAAGAGGAGGAGGAAGAGTTGCGGGGGAAGCCCAAGGTGCTGGTGGTGGACAGAGACATCGGGCAGAGGAAGGTGCTCAAGGCGATCTTGTCGCGATTGGAGTGCGAGATGGCGGAGTTGTCAAAGAGCAGCGAGTGCCTGGACAAGCTCGCGGCAGAGAAGTTTGATATGCTGATGATCACTTCTGACATGCCCAGCCCGTCCGGCTGGGACATTGCCAAGGAGCTGCGGCAGCGATCCTCGAAGATGCCCATCATCGCGTTGATGAGCGCCGAGCAAGCGAAGGAGTTCGAGGAAAGAACAAAGACGGGCTCTTCTCGGGCTTCGTATGCAAGCCCTACGACAAAAGTGCCATCGAGGCCATCGTGTCGAACTCGCACAAGAGCAACAAGGCGCCCCCTAGCGCTGCCCAGAGCAGCGTTGTGGCTGCTCCTGCTCCTGCTCCAGCTGCAGTGCAGCCGAAGAAGGAGTCGAAGGCAGCGAGGATTTTGATCGTGGAGGATCACTGGGCGAACAGGAAGCTGCTGGAAGCGATGCTGCTGCAGAAGGGACACGAGCTGCACTGCGTTGAGAACGGGGTGGAGGCAGTGAACATCACCGCAGTGGTTGAGTTCGACCTCGTGCTCATGGACTGCAACATGCCCATCATGGACGGATGGCAGGCAACGGAGAAAATCCGGCAGCGAGCAGGGCTGAACCAGACGACTCCGATCATCGCCGTAACAGCCAACGCCATGAAAGGCGACAGGGACAAGTGTATAGCCGCGGGGATGGACGACTACATCAGCAAGCCTGTGGAGAGGAAGCGCCTGTATGAGATAATCGCCAAGTGGACCACAACTGTACCCGACGTGGCGGTTGCCACAGGAACAGTGACGCCAGCAACAAGCGGAGCAGCCGCTCCGGCTCCAGCTCTCCCGAGTGCTGTGCCCGTGGAGCGAGTCAGGAGTCCCGCGATTCGGCGAGCGAACAGCACGGCGGTGAAGAAGGAGGTGCCAGAGAACAAACCTACGATCCTGCTGGTGGACGATGACAACACGCTGAGGCTGCTGGTGAAGTCGAGGCTGGAGAAGGACAACAGCAGGGTGATCGACGCGGGGGATGGAGAGGAGGCGCTTGAGAAGTTCCACAAGTCACGTCCTGACATCGTGATCTCGGACGTCTTCATGCCTAAGATGGATGGGTTCGAGCTCTGCCGCCAGATCCGCAAGCATGACAAGCGCGTGCCGATCGTGATGCTTACATCGATGAACGACGTGAAGGACAGGATCAAGGGTCTTGATGCGGGTGCTGACGACTACATCGTGAAGCCTTTTGCGCCCAAGGTGAGGAGAAGTACAGAAGGAGGGAGGAGAGAAGAAAGAGGAGAAGAGAAGAGAAGGAGAAAAGTTGGAGAGGAGATGAAAGTCAGCAAGGACTAGAAGAAAAGAGAGGAGTTGGAAAGGAGAAACAGAAGAGAGGAGGGGAGGTGGGGAACAATGTTGGTGATGGTTTTGGCTGATCCTGGTCGCAGGAGTTGGAGGCTCGCGTTCGGTCGCTCCTTCGACGTCGGGAGGTCTCGGGAGGAGAGAAGGCTGAGGCATCAGCAACGAGCTCGGGAGGAGGTGAACGCCGGGAAGGAACGGGAGGGAGGGAACGGAAGTTGGTTGTGTTGGGGACTGGGGGAGGAGGAGAGGTGGAGGTGGAAAGGTGCTGAGCTGGAGAACAGGCGGTGGGGCTTCGGGTGAGAACAACACGGTGAGCATAGAGACAGACGGAACGGGAGGAGCAGAGGTCGTTAACAAGGTATGTAGCATCTTCTGTCTTGTTGATCCTCCCCCATTTCCCTCTCCTCCTTCCTCCATCACGTCTCCTCCTGCCTTGCTTGCGTCTCCTCCTTCGTATCTCTCCTCTTCTCCTTTCCCCCTCCCCTCCCTTCCATGCTTCCTCCCCTCTCCTTCTTCCTCCCTTGCAGATTTTCTTCCCTCCTTTGCCTCTCCCCCTCGTTTCCCTCACGCTGGTGTGGGCAGGTACGAGAGCTGGACAATCTTCTTGGCATGCTCAAGCAGCACCTGAAAATTTGATTTCGAGTTTATTCATTTTGATGTAGAGCAGATTCCATTGACGACCTCCTCCTCCTCCTCTCTCCTCCTCCTCCTCCTCCTCCTCCTCCTCCTCTTCCTCCTCCTCCTGCATCTGCTTTACGCGTACAATCTCAACCTCGTTTGCTCCCTCCCTCCTCTTCCGGCCCATCCAGCAGCTGGAAGATGTCCTCAAGGAATCGCACCTGCCGCCATCGTCAGAAGCTCCTCCTCCCCCTCCTCCCTTGTCCCTCACCTTGTCGCTCTCTGAGCTCTCCTCCGTCATCTGCGTCGCCTCTCCGAGCTCCAGCTGGGGTCATCGTCAATAATTCCCTCCTCCTCGTCCTCCTCCTCCTCCTCCTCCTCCTCCTCCTCCGATCCTGCTCTCTCGACCCTCTTCCTACGACTACCGCCTCCTCCTCCCTCTCCCACAACCGCCTTCTCTTCCTCCTCCCGCTCCCACTTTCACTACTACCCATCCTCCTCAACTTACCTTCTCCGGCTCGAACTTGAGCTCGTCTCCCAGCTGCTGCAAGAGCCTAGCCTCCTGCTGGCCGAGAATCGAAGTTACAGTTCCTGACGCGTCCTGCCCGATGCGGCCTGTACAAGGTTCAGAGGGCATGAGGAGGAAGGGAGAAAGAAGAAGAGCGGTAGAGCAAACGAGGAAGAGGAGGAAGAGAAGGAGGAAGAGAGGGAGGAAGAGGAGGAGGAAGGAGAGGAGGAGGAGGAGCAGTGAGAGATCGCGTACCGACACGTCCTGCACGATGGAGATAATCGGCGGCAGTTCCGACGATGCCGAGGTTGAAGACATGAGTGACGTTGGGAAAGTCAAGACCTCTGAACGAAAGTGAGAGACGAACACAAGAGCAGAGCAGAGCAGAAAACAGGACAGCACAGGAAACGTCAAGTGAGAGTAGACCTTGTCGCCAACGGCGTTGTGACGAGAACGCTGACCTGAGGGAAGGATGAGGAGAGGAGCGATAACGGTGAGATTCAGAGGAATGCAGCAGGAGGCGCAAGAGGGGGAGGAGGAGGAGGAGGAGCAGCAGCAGCAGCAGCAGCAGCAGCAGCAGCAGCAGCAGCAGCAGCAGCAGCAGCAGCAGCAGCAGCAGCAGCAGCAGCAGCAGCAGCAGCAGCAGCAGCAGCAGCAGCAGCAGCAGCAGCAGCAGCAGCAGCAGCAGCAGCAGCAGCAGCAGCAGCAGCAGCAGCAGCAGCAGCAGCAGCAGCAGAAGGGTCCTTGATTGAAGTAGAATTGATCCATGCACGCAGAGCAGACTCGTAGGTGAGCATCGTGACGTTGTCCTCTGACATCTTCACTAGATCCTGCAATCCAGACAGTCACTTGATCCTCCCTCCCTCCCTCCCTCCCTCCCTCCCTCCCTCCCTCCCTCCCTCCCTCCCTCCCTCCCTCCCTCCCTCCCTCTCGTCTCTCTACCTCTTCGCTTGGCAGAAGCACCGACAGTCCCCTGCTCGACTTGTCATTCTCACGTAGCAGCAGCAGCAGCAGCAGCCTGCTCACCATAGCCCTGCCTCCACGTCGCTCCCAAGCCCCGTCCAGAGAGCGTTCTAAGCAGAACAAGTCAGACGCGGGGGATGCAGGAGCTATGGAGGATAACGAGGATGGGAAGAGATGTGACGAGGACGAGGACGAGGACGAGGACGAGGACGAGGACGAGGACGAGGACGAGGACGAGGACGAGGACGAGGACGAGGACGAGGACGAGGACGAGGATGAGGACGAGGACGAGGACAAGGACGAGGACGAGGACGAGGACGAGGACCTGTAAGGGTGATGCGATCTTGATGGCGGAGTCAACGTCGCGAGCGTAAATGATGATGCGCGGCTGTTTGCCTCCTGCTCTTTCGTAGCTGAGAATCTCCTGCTGCCCACGTCAGGTTGAAGCAGGAAGTTCCTCCTCCTCCTCCTCCTCCTCGTCGTCGTCTCCTCCTCATCCTCCTCCTCGTCTCCTCGTCCTCCTCCTTCTCCTCCTTCTCCTCCTTCTTCTCCTCCTCCTCCTCCTTAACCTGCCGCATCAACTTGACCAGCACCGACAAGGACTGCCACTGCCATGCCGTCAGGCATGTGGAGCGGGGGGGCAGAACTGAGAAGAGACGCGATGGGGAAGAGGAGAAGACGCGAAGTAATAAAGGCAGTCGCAGTGTTGGGGAAGAAGTGTGGGAGGAAGATGACGACAAACAGGAGGACGGAGATGGGGACGAGAAGGAGGAGGAGGAGGAGGAGGAGGAGGCGAGGGGGAGGAGGAGGAGGAGGCGGAGGAGGGGAGGAGGGGGGGGCGGGGGGAGTCGACCTGGAGGAGTGGTAGCTGTGCACGGGGGGTACTGGCAGCTGGCGTAACGGAACGACCTGCTCTCCTGATGAAGTTGATAGACGGCACTACGTGCTCATCACACAACAGGTGTTTCAGTTGGATCAAGGGGAAGTGCATTGATAGGCATCACAGCTGCGA